GCTAGTACTACCTTGATTTCCTTGTCTTTCTATGCTCATTACTCAGCCAGTATACATTTTCTTCCAAAATTGTTTGGCACATGTCATTTATTTGTAATCTTGAACATTCAGTGTAAGTTTCGTTTGATTCTGTGAGAATTATTTTTTTTTTTTACCAGTACTGGAGTTTATCTTTAATTATTTTAATACCGTTTTATCATCTGTTTCCATCTTGAGATGTTTGTATTCTGTGTTCTGCTTCTAATGTATTTAAACAGTCCCAGCCATAGGGCTGCATGTTCACAGTGTTTTTATGAAAATAAATAAATGAAATTGATCAATCGTTCCTGGATCTGCCCCTGATAAACTGACAGTTTTTCTCAATTTTTTTCATAGCAAATACATGTATACAAGTAAAATGGGTGTTGCACATGTAGAACCTTAATATCCTTTAATAATCTTACAAATCTTAATATTTGAATAACTAGAAATATTCTTTGGATCAGGAACACTACATGTGCTTTAAAGGGATCGTTTAATAACAATGTTAAATCTGAGATGCATGGCCCTACATGTACGTGTTATCAGTGCCTGTGATATGGTGAATACATATTGAAGCCCTCAAAAAGTAAAAAATCTTCGAGTGACCGGTTTTACAATACTCGTTTTCCCCAAGAGACTGTAGTGTTATAAAAACTGTTTGGCAAACGCAAAATTTGATTTCGATTTTCAATCATGATCTTGATAATCAGACAGGCGATTGGCTTGTAAAAGTCATGGGGTTCGTGACTGACCTAAAGGTTTATCATTATCATTACAGCATGAGCTAAATCAAGGATTTTTTTAAAGGATCTAAGACAAAGTTACCGGATCACTTTAATTGACAAAGTTGATGGACTTCCTCTCCAGAACAACAGATTCCCCGAAAATTTGTTATTTGTGCCTGGACCACTTTCACAACTGTATTTGAACAATCTAAAGCCCTTGCTATGATAAAGTCACCAGCATCAATAGGATTTAATGTAGAATTTTCTTGGAATTTGGCACAACATGAAATTGGCAACAAAAAAAAGACTTAAATGTAGACCAAGGATATTATTGAGATGAATCCAGGGTTTCATTGTATTAGAAGGATTTTGAACAATTTCAACAAGATATCTATTTGTGTTCTTGGCAGGATCAGTTCATCCTTCTAAGATATTCTCAATTGTATTGTGGAATTGAAATAAAGTTGGCCAGAATTTGCCATAAGCATGATAAAAATAGCCGGGTACATTGTAGCTACAAATGTACATTTGTACATGCACATACAACAATTGGATGTCGCACTCCTTCTTAGGAACGATTATATGCAAATCACTATTCAATTCATATCCCTTCTCACAAAAGCAATCAAATTGGCAATTCTAAGAGATTATTTATAACATCAAACAATTCCATTATTATTCTTTAACCCTGACCATTCATATAATTGTTCAAGGGTTGTACAATTAAATATATTGTTTCAGTATTATTCTTCTTTTTTTGTACTGCTAGATGCCAAGTATACATGTACAAGCACTGTTTTAATTATGCATTTTACTTGCTGTTAATAAACTTTGAAGTGTTTAAATGTATCAAATATCCTTTGTGCTGTATTACTGTATTTTTGTACCAACATTTGATGGAAGACCTCAGAAACATATATCGATGGGAATTATTGTACAATTGTGAATTCATTGGATGTGTATTGGATTTTTGCCACACATACAATTAAATGTACATTGTTTTTCTTTCATGGCTGTGTGAATACAATATGGGTGTTTATCACCTTGACTTTGACTATGATTGTTGACATTTGCTCATAATGAAACAAGCTTAAACGTACAAAGTACATAAATATCTTGCATTTCCTTGTGTTGTATTGTAGAACTACAACCCATACTGGTAATTCACACTTTTATTCAATAAATTCAATGTTGCTTACAGTAATAATTAATTTCTCTTTCTTTGTGTGCAGAGAGATTTTGTGTGGTTATTTTTCTCTTTCCAAACAAATGACTATTACCCATTGACTACAGAATTCTTTTATGACCCTGGCTTAATCGCAGGATAAACCAGATTACCATAAACAATGGGTTAAATACTTTTAGTCATACAGTTTTTGTCAATGAAAGTCACAAAACACTGTACGAGATATGTCTCAAACTGCTGAATGTTTACAGAGACACATGCACACATACGCATGTACACTACACCACAAGGGTGGGAATGATAAACCTCCCAAAACCCCCAAATACTTGGAATAAACATGACATTCAAAACAGTCATTTAAAACCAACAAGGTCAAAAAGATCAAAGAATTTCCAAAGAGAGTAATGTGCAGTACCGTACACACTAGGCCCGTCCTCACTATCTCGAGATTGCCAAATATCCAGCTATTTGAACTATCCCGATCGCAAACTATCCAGCTAATTGCGTCTTCATTAGAACGAAGTAGCAAATTAGCTGGATAGTTGGTCGGGATAATATCCCAAGATATCTTGGGATAGTTTGCAAAATATCCTACTATTTGGCAAAATATCCAGCTATTTGTCCCGAGCGTCTTCACTAGAGTGAAGATTCGCAATACACGCTAACGCTGAGCAAAGTATCTCGAGCTAATTTCTCAAGGTCGAGTTTCAAGTTTCGAGGTCGAATCTCGAGATAGTGAAGACGCGATTTGTTACTTCGGGATTATTTCCCAAATAGCGGGCTATTTGGCAATCTCGAGATGATGAAAACGCACCTAGTATTGCTTGAAAAAAAAGTAGACACTTTCCCACAGTGTCACACATGACTGCATGTATTATTCTATGTATAGACTTTTGTGTGACTTGGTGATAATGTGTCTACCGTACTTTATTTCAAGTAATACTGCATATGTTCATTATATTTTCATATGGAGTGGTGTAAAATAAACTGTACTGCCAATTTGAGGGTCAAAGGTGACCTATGTGAAAATCTGTTCCTCTATAAAGGGTTATAAGATCATGTATTCAACTTAGGAAACAATATCCTGTATTTGTTTTGTTCTTCTTCTACAGACTTTGCACAGATTCTACATGATTCTGATTCTTATCAAAACGTAACAAACCAGAAAAAGTCAACATGAAGATAATAAAACTATGAAGATTGCGTGTCAGAAAACAACAATAACAAAGCAGAATATAATCGATGCATTGCATACAGTGTACAGTTGTATCTCTGCGACTTGAGTTTGGCATTCTGACTGTATTACGTAACGTGTAACTTTATTTTTAACTTGATTAAAGAGAAGGTTGAGTTCTGGGAATGGGTACAAAATAATTTGTTAGCGTTATCATTGTTATTATGCAAGGGTGGAAGAACATCAGATTAAACATGTTCCCTGAAAAGCATGGCTCTTCAAATGCCTTCATATTCTAAATATGACATGAAACATCGTAAAAATCGGGGGGGGGGGGGGGGGGAGGGGGGGGGGTAGGTTTTTTCGCCATGTGCTCGTGTAGTCCCATGTACATCATTCTGTGTACAGTGCTTGTAACTTTGCCAAGATTTGGCCAAATTTCTTATCATTTTGATGATTCCAGAACTTTGCAATACACATGAATATACTTAAATACTAGATGATCAACCTTTTCTGATAGATTCCACATCGTTTCTTTCACAATGCAATCACATGACCAGAACTCAACTTTATCTTTAAGACTTACTTAAATGCAATTTTTTCAACCTGATTTTAGCCTTCAAATCTTAACTTCAGTGTTGTTGTTGTTGTTTTTAATATTTTGTGTGAGGTTATTATAGATTGATTGTTTTAGAGATTTTGTTTTTACCCGACTGCTGAGAAAGCATGTGCATGCTTGTAAGTAAGCTAGCAACCAGGTGAATGACGGCTTTAAGTCCTATCTGAGGGACTTGATAATGAGGAATAATGCCTTCGATTTCGAAACCTAGGACCTCCCGCTTACGAGACCACTGCTTTACCACTGTGCCATGGCGCCTGATGAAATTTGTAGGTATATATGTAATTGACAATTAATGCTTTATAAGAGGGTCCTTTATGAAAGGCAACTCCCCTATGCTTTCAGAACGACAATCTACATGTAAATGTTAACGTGATTCTGCATTCTGAAACAAACTTAAAACCTCCATATTTCTGTCTTTGCTTGGCATTTTCACTTTTTCTTCTTCCTCTATTTTCTTCAAATACAGATAGCTGATTAGACGGAATAAAGCTCAGCTGATTTTCACATTGTGAAATGGATTGGACACTTTGGGTCATCCCAGTAGACCAACAGCCCACGTGACCGACGTTCAATAACGGTTCTCTGGACCGACAGCCCACGAGACCGACATGTTTGTATCAAAGAAGCACATTTAGAAATATAGGAAAGAACAAAGACCGATGGCCAACGAAACCGGCAAAACAGAGCAATAAAGGAGGGAAGATAGAAAATATTCAGTCTCGTGGGACGTTGGTTTGATGGACCCTCTTAAAAGTGGCTAGAAGGAACAAGAGACCAGGAGAGTGTTTCAAAAAGACTAAGATTGACTTTAAGTTGGACTTTGCTATGGCAGCCCGTTCATGCCACTGTTTACTCTCACCATTTACTGACATTGGTCTCTCAAGGGACGTACAAATCATGGTCACAAATCTACAGAATTTAAATTGTTTGATAGTTCATAATTGAAGGAAAAAATATTATCTAAAGATCATAATGATGAGAGCAACCAGTGAATTGAATGGCCTGCCATACAGTAGTTACATGTAAGTCCACTTAAAGTCGATCTTAGTCTTAACACTCCCTAGCACTGTCAGCCTCCTGGGCCGTTAATCCTGCACGTTGTTGGTCTTACGGGCCATCGGTCTAGTGAATCCTCAACAAATTGTCAGAAGACTCATGAGATGAACTCTGTCATTCTAGAGGGCCGTCGGTCTTGTGGGCCGTAGCCCAAACACTAAACCTGACACAATAAGGTGTATCTAGACATCTAGATGTGAATCTGGTAATACATACCCTGTTGAGTAGTTCATCCCTTGCAATGTTTCGCCACTGTCTTTCCCGACAAACACTGATGGTATATAGATTAACTTGTTATCTATGGTAGTGGCAAGGGAAAAAACGTGAAGGAAAAAAACATCAAAATGAAATCAGATGACATGTAGACTTACAATTTATAAAGAGGACAATAGATCCTGGGCAGATATTAAATTCACTACGGTACTCAAGTAAGAAATATGAGTATCTACAGTGTACTTAGTTTTCAACTTAGATAAAATACTTAGCCAACTTTGTTATTCAGTGCAATCATTAGGAAGTACGTTTATGTTAAAATTCAAGTTATTCAACGAACATGCACATGTATGGGACATGAGAATATACTATGGAAGTTCTTATGATATCTGTTGTGGAGGGGAATATTATACTTGTGGCAAAAAAAAGAGCAAAATATTCTGGTCAGGGATGCCACTTAGAATTGATCAGACGACCTGAAAATCACCTAGAATGAGCTATTTTGTACACAAAAAAGCCTAAACTATGGTCTGAAAATAACTCGTCAGGGCCTGAATTCAGGCTACATGTATTGCCTGAAAACTGGCATCCCTGTCTGGTTAATTCAAGAGGCAAGTACAAAGAGGAGTCTAGCAGTACACTGACTCTGTCTTTATTACTGGTACAATTTTGAGAAAACCAATGTGTTGCTTCCCATTTTTGTTCAAAGTCAAAACCACAAACATCCATTTGCATAATAACCAGTAACTGTTGTTTCCCATACATCCTGCTGTATGCATTTTAATTAATGTTACATATTTAAGTGTAGGCAATCATTCTATAAGCCATATGATTGTAACCTCAGTTGAACATTTATTCATTTTTAGATGATATCTATGAGGCTGTTCACACTGCAACGAGATAGCGCGGTCTATCGTAGCACCCCCTTTTTTCTAGCGGGCGCTATCTCTCGTGGACCACCCCCAAGAGGTGCTCCAGTGGCACGCCGTTTTGGCTCGCCGTGGCTCGCTGTTAGGCGGACCGAAACGACGTTGTACCTTCCAAACCGCAGAGATAGCGCGGTCTAGCGCGCTATCTCTGCCGGTGTGAACAGCCTCTATGATACTTTGATCAGAAACTATTTTCTGAGTAAACAAAGGATATTATAAACAAGATCAGAGAGCACTATTATGAAAATACCAGTAGCGCTCCAAGTAACCTTTGAATTTTGTTTTATAGACTTTAAATGTTTATCTTCTGATATCAACTTTCTGCTTCTACTTTTCTACGTACTAGTTTTACATCTTCGCATCCTGGACGACTGCCTTGCAAGATTGCATTACAAGTCTTAAACAAACAAAATCTTCTAGGCCAAGGCGTTTTTTTAATGATCTTCTTTTTTTTGTGCATGAGGACCATTGATAGTGAGCATTTAAATTTTACAGGGCTCTCATGTTCATTTGCAGGAGCTCAATTCTTTTTAAAAGTACCTGCACAATACTGGTACTAAAAAATACATTGAACTTCAATGTGTGAAGAAATACATTAAAAAAACGACATACAGTATGATAATCACGACTCAATTTACTCTTAAACAAAATCTTCAAGGCGAAGGCGTTTTGTTAATCTTCTTTTTTTTTGCATGACAACCATCGGTTGTGAGCATTTAAATTTTACAGGGCTCTCATGTTCATTTGCAGGAGCTCAATTCTTTTTAAAAGTACCTGCACAATACTGGTACTAAAAAATACATTGAACTTCAATGTGTGAAGAAATATGTTAAAAAAAACGACATACAGTATGATAATCACGACTCAATTTACTTGCCCAATACACAACCAGCTACTGAATATTAGAGAACTGAAGGGGAGAAAATGAATTTACAAAGGTTGGTGTGTGGGGGAGGGGGTGACTAAAACTAAAAATGAAATTGAATCAGTAAAAAAAAAAAAAAAAACATTGAAAAAATTAATTCATTTCTAACCTTCTGCAATTCAACCATCCGATCAGGGCCCCGTTTAAAAAAAAATTGTTATCAATAGCAACTGCCACAGATCTATGACAAATCTGCTCGCAGCCAGGATTTTGGTAGTTTATAACAATCATTGGAAATTGTTATTTGATTTTGAATTTATTTCTGCATTTTTCCAAATATAATATAATCATACATTTGTAACTGAAACAGGACCCAGGTCCATCATACATACATACATACCCAACCAGACAATCAAATAAATACCATTTATGTAATCCTAAAACAACAATGGCTATGAAATCTATAAGACATTCTGGTCCGGATATTTGGAACTCACTGTCCGTTGACATCCGTAACTTGAAGTCAGTATATACTTTCAAGAAAAGTGTGAAATCAATTTTATTGAGCAAATATTGACAAATCTCTTAAATTAACACATGATATCATATATGTTTGTCAGCATTTCCTTGATATAGCAGGAAAATCCCCCTCCCATGCACCCTCTATCCCATTTTTTTTTTTGGTTGCAAGTCACTGTTTATTTTTTGTTATTTTCCCCCAATTATGTTCTGTAATTTACTTTACTTTACAATCTTTATGATTTTAAATGTTTCTGGGCTGCAAGCGTATCAAGCTGTCACGCTTAGGCTGTAGCCCTTCTGTATCATCACCTCTTCGAGCGTATGTATCTATGATTTACTGAATGTGGAAATGTAATTTAACTTATGTTTTATACTCATGTAAAGACATTGTCACATTATTGTTATAACCTATGATGATTCAGTAACCAATAAATATTTCAACTATTTCAACTATTTCAGTGTAAGCCATTTTCAAAACAAACTGTACGACAGATATTTATCATATGCTTAATACAGACTAAGGCTATATGGAATTCTAAAAGCACCTATAAAAGCTGGATCATGTGGTAAACCTCAGCACTTCTTTATGAGGGGGGGGGGGGGGGGGTTGTGCATAAAATGACATAAGCAGTGTTTGTATTTTATAACACACAGATATGTGAGAAAATGCAGGGCCCTGGATGTGAGCAGAAACCATTTTTCTCCCTATCCCTGATTTCCTTTCATTTTACATGTTAAGAAAAAAACTGTAGCGATAATATATTCCAGCATCATGAAACACATACATGTATATTTTGTGTATTTTACACTTTACAGTAAATATATAAATAAGAATACGCATTACATTGTACCTTTGGTGCCTTCACAAATATTCATTAATTTCCATCCCTACTCGCCATTCATTTACAAGTGAAAAAACTCCAAAACAAGACAATGTAAACAAAAATAAAAAAAATAAATGGATTTCCAGTCTTGCGTGTGAACAAGCCTGAATTAAACACTATGGGTGGTATTCCGGTAGCTCATACTAAGTTAGCGCGTACTTAGTTAGTTCACACTTCTATGGAGTGCCTGTTGCAAACTAATTTACCCTGTACAGATTATTTTAATCCTTCAATGAAAAGTGTTCAAAAAATTAATTTTGCAATGAAATGGGAAGAAAAACATAATATGAGTATGAACTGAATTTCAACAAAGTTTTTGGTATATTATCTTTGTCATGAATATTGAAGGAGGAAGATGAAACCTAGCATTCCATAGAAGTGTGAACTAAAATTCTTGTTTAGTCTGGACTTAGTCCCAGCTTAACTTATGAGAATACCACCCTATGGAGATAAAGCCTGGAGTACTTACATTGACTACCGCTCATAGTAGTGAGGACATTGCCTTCATCGTTATACACAATGGCCCCCATGTACCTTGCCTGTTGGGCATTATATACCTGCACGTACAAAGGAAAAAACATCAGCACATTATCGTTATTGTGAGCAGCATACATTCAGAATTAATCAAATAGAGTGGCTATCTCATTTTATAGAGAAGAGCAGTACATTATTAACATTATCCTTGTTTTACCATTATAATAATCCTATCCTCTATGGTAAATGTATACATGTAGCTTTTGGTATACTGTATGTGGGTTCAACAGAAATTTATTCTCATAAAAGAAGAAGCAATGTCTGAAAGCAATTAAATAAGTAGGAAACAAAACATTTGATCGATATGACTTGTGCATGTATCTCACAACAAAGCATTTTCTGGATTATTAATTAGTTTTCTAATATAAATTTGGGTGAATGCATAAATTTTGTAAATGTACAGTATAGTGTAACCGCCAGGGTCGAAAACAGCTATTAGTGTTACAAATGGACCAAAAAGCAATCGTTAACATCGTTAATATCACAAAGGCATTGTTTAACAATGTTAAATCTGAGATGCACGGCCCTGCGTGTTATCAGTGTCTGTGATATGGTGTAATATTGAAGCCCTAAAAAAATTGCACTTCAAAGTGATCATCAAGTGCCTCAACAAAGTAAATAATCTATGAGTGACTGGTTTTACCATACTCTTTTTCCCCAATGGACTGTCGTGTTATAACAAAAACGTTAGGAAAATGCATAATTTGATTTTGATTTCCAATCATAAATATCTTGATAATCAGAGAGGCGATCGGCTTGTAAAATTCATGGGCTTCTTGACTGACATACACTGTACAGGTTTATGGTTATCATTGCAGCATGAGCTACACTGTAAATCCAGGATTATGTTTCAGAATCTAAATCAAAGTTGCCCAATCCCTTTAAGAAATGTCTCCGTCTCACCTTCTTATCGAAGTTACAGCTCCCTCTCTTGATGAGGGCAAAGTACACACCAGTCACGTTGGGCAGAAGGGGAGGTACTTGTATCGGCCCACAAGCTTCAATCGGATTGGCCACTACTAACAAACCCTGCTAGATAAAATCCAGAAAGAAAAGAAAAAAATCACATTCATGCCCATGTGTAAATAAAATGAGTATGTGCAAGTCAAATGAGTACATGTAAGAAAAAAATGAAGGAAATATGAAACAATGACAAAGAAAAGAAACTGGAAAAGAATTGACTGAAAGCAAAAATAAAGGAAAGTATAAAAAGAAAATATAATATAGAATAAATAAGATAATGACATTACTTTAGTACATGTGCAACTAAGATGAGAAAGACTGAGACAGAAGGAAGAAGAAGGAGAAGGAGAAGGAGGAGGAGGAGGAGGAGGAGGAGGAGGAGGAGGAGGAGGAGAAGGAGAAGGAGAAGGAGAAGGAGAATGAGAAGGAGAAGGAGGAGGAGGAGGAGAAGAAGGAGAAGGAGAAGGAGGAGAAGGAGAATGAGAAGGAGAAGGAGAAGGAGAAGGAGAAGAAGAAGAAGAAGAAGAAGAAGAAGAAGAAGAAGAAGAAGAAGAAAAAGAAGAAGAAAAAGAAGAAAAGGAAGGAGAAGGAGAAGAAGAAGGAGAATAAGGAGAAGAAGAAGGAGAAGAAGGAGAAGAAGGAGAAGAGGAAAAAAGGGAGGAGGGGAAAAGGGAACTGAGAAAATTGAAGTAAAGCTCAAGTGAATAAGGATAAATTGAGAGAGAAAACTAAAAAGAAAGATTAAACAGAGAGAGATATAACAAAATTCATCATACCATTTGCCCATCTGGGGGAGACCCAAACGCAGCTGTGACTGACTGGAAAGCGGTGGTATCGTTGTGCTGAGAAGTCTGATCAAAACAAAAACAAAAGAACAAATGGTAATAATAATCTTTATGCCCATATTAAAAATGATGTGCATGTTGTATTATATTCATTTTCACTACATTAAAAGATCTACATGTACATACTGTAGTATTTACTGCATTGTACATGTACATGTACAATACCACACAATAAAGTCATTTCTACATGAACAGTGCGTCCTAGAAAGAAAAAAAAAGAATTATTGATGTTATATCATAACTTTATCACAATCATAATTAATAAATGATTCGATACAACTCAAATGATACATATATCACGCATAAGTGATTAAAAACAATTTTGAAGAGAGGGTACCAAAAAATCATTTGGCGGGCGGTATCTGAATTTTAAAGAGAAATTCATATTTCTAGAAAGTTCATTTTCTGCCCTTTCATACATGTACATGTACATGTACAGGTGTATGTATGACACCTCAATCATGGGAAATGAGCCAGGAATAACAAAGTTCTGTCTGTTTAAAATAATGCTTACATTTCTATAATTTGATTAAACAAATTTGTTTTCACTGGCTGCCTGCCGTAGCAACAAACTGAGTTGACAGAAGACTTAACTCCGTTTCGTTGACAAACAGCCATGCACAATGAAGATGAAAGACTAGATACACTGTACAGTGTACATGGCTGATCGTCAACTCACGTTTGTAGAACGAGAAGAGAAAAACATGGACAATCAATCAATATAATATATATTATATATTATATATTACATATTATATGAAAACAAATGAAAACAGATGTTTTCCATTGCACGAAGCTGGGACTAGAGAGCTAGACATACATGTAAATAATGATGTAAAAGTATGACTGCATAATGCTCAGAATATGAAAATCCTTTCCTTAATACCTGCAGATTGCATGCTAAGCCATAGGGGTTTGCTCTTAAGAAGCCTGGATAATTGAGGCTGAGCCAAAAACATCATACATGTACATGTATGTACATGTACATGTACATGTACACGTGCCTTTGCTGGTATCCTGTAGAGAGCACCATTTCCATTTCCATATAAGCAGCCAAAAAATATATGCCGAGACAGGAGACAATTCATTACATACATGTACGTTGTACATTAATTATGTACACCAGTCTGCAGAACTCATTAATGAACAGCAGAATATGGCAGATCTATGGAAATGTTGCTTTTGTGTACTATAGACAGTGGCATACAGTGAACGTGTACATGTACACTATATACAGTGCGTCCCAGAAAAGATGAAACCAAGATTTATTGATGTTAATCATAACTTAATCAAAATTATAATTAATAAATGACACATATTTTTTATTAAAAGCTTACATGTAGATCCTTCTCTTTCATTTGATACAACTCTTATGATGCATATTTCAATATGAGTGATTAAAAACAATTTGAAGAGGCAGGCAGTATCTGGCTTTCTACATGTACAGTGTATAAGAGAAAATCCCATTTCTAGAAAGTTCATTTTCTGCCTTTTCATATGACACCTCAATCAAGAAAAATGAGCCAGGAATAACAAAGTTCTGTTTGTTTAAAAGTAATGCTTGCATTTCCATAATTTGATTAAACAAATTTGTTTTCACTGGCTGCCTGCCGTACATGTAGCAACAAACAGAGTTGACATAAGACTTAAAGAGAAGGTTGAGTTCTGGGAAGAGGTTGAAAATAATTTGTGAGCATTACTCATTCTTATTGCAAGTGTGGAAGAACATCAGTTAAGACATGTTCCCTGAAAAGCATGGCTCTTCAAATGCCTTCATATTCTAAATATGCATGTAACATCGTAAAAATCGGGGGCCGGCTTTTTACGCCACGTGTTCGTGTAGTCCCATATACATCTTTCTGTGCAAGTGTTTGTAACTTTACCAATACTTGGCCAAATTTCTTATCATTTTGATGATTCCAGAACCTTGCAATACACACAAATTCTTATATGCTAGATGATCAACCCTTTCTGGTCGGTTCCACACCGTTTCTTTCACAATGCAATCGCATGACCAGAACTCAACTTCATCTTTAACTCTGTTTCGTTGACGATCAGCCATGCATCAAGTCTTCGTCTTCTTTGGGAAAGAAGGGGTAATAAGGGGGAGGAGTAATAAAGGGGAGGGGTAATAACTACTAAAGGGGAGGGGGTAATAAAGTGGAGGGGTAATAACTACTAAAGGGGAGGGGGTAATAAAGTGGAGGGGTAATAACTACATGTACTAAAGGGGAGGGGGTAATAAAGTGGAGGGGTAATAACTACTAAAGGGGAGGGGTACACTGTATATTAATAAAGGGGAGGGGTAACTGATACTGTTTTCACACTGGCAATATTTTGCTTAACCCCGTACTATAGGTGGGGTTAAAGGGTATCTTAGCCCCACCTATAGTCCGGGGTTAAGCTTATTCCACTTTCTTTTCACACTGGCAAAATGTTGCTTAACTCCATACTATAGGTGGGGTTAAAGGGGGGGGGGGTGGTTTAGCTCCACCTATAGTCTGGGGTTAAGCTTATTCCACTTTCTTTTCACACTGGCAAAAATTTGCTTATTAAACCCCATACTATAGGTGGGGTTAAAGGAGGGGGTCTTAGCCCCAGCTATAGTATGGGGTTAAGCCTATTCCACTTTCTGTTCAGACTTGTATTTACCAAAGTGGGCTAGCTAGCCCCACCTATAGTGCGGGGTTAGCCGGCCCTGCAAAATAGCAGGGCTAACCCCGCAATTGTGGTGCTAACTCCTGCTAACTCCGCAATTGCGGTGCCAAGCAAATGAATGAGAACAGAAACAAAAAATAGTCCGGGACAACGCAGTGGAGAGAATCGATGAATATATTCACGCTGTGGCTAGTACGGGGCTAAGGAATTGCAGAGAGAAAAGCCAAAAAAGTTAGTCCGGGGATAGTACGGGGCTAAGCAAAACAAGTGTGAAAAGAGTATAATAAGGGGGAGGGGTAATAAAATGCTCTTCTGGCTCCAAACAGATAATATACATATGGAATAAAATAGTAGGAGTTCTACCCTTCAAAAAGTAATTGCTACATGTATGAAATTTCTCCCTAAAACTAGAAATGCAGGTACCGGTACCTCAGGAGCTTGGCATCGAACCTGTTCACCTCTCACCGTTTATTCTCAGTTGACATGCATAGACAGTTTTGAAGACAATGGCGGTACTACTAATTAGCTAATTAACACGTACAATGTACATGTACATGTACAGTTATTACGTGTGAATGAAAGGAAAGCTTCTGATCTCTACCCGTTAGCATGTACATGTACTGTGAATAACACTTGGGCATTGGATTCCATACTTGCCTGTCGTACACACTGTGTGCACAATCTCCACTCCCTGGGGAGCATTACAACCAGGTATTACATGTACATGACGCTCAAAAACTGTTTGACCAACAATGAAGTCGCATCACACCGGGTACCCATTTACATGTAATCCCTGGGTGCAGAGTACATGTACTTGTGCAGGTTAATATTCTTGCCAAAGAATATTAGTGCCATGTCGGGATTCAAACCCTCAACCTTCTCCAGTCAAGCGCCTTAAACCACTCAGCCACGACACTCCTACAGTGTACATGTACTCATGTACTGCAATTTTTTCTGAAACACAGAGACCATTCACACTGCACTGGATAGTGGATAAATGTACAGGACTTCACCTGTCTGAATGACTCTATACATACGTACGTGTACATTACATGTACCAGGCTGATTGAGACCGAGATATTTAATCCCCCGGAACTTGATACACCTGCTATTAACCTAGATACAGTATACATGTACATGTTTATACAACAAGATCTGTCTCTTTCACTAAAACTTAAATTCTTTAAATGGTAGTGTACGTGACACATGTACATGTACTGTACACTGTGGTGGTTTATCGGTTTTAATAATAGCAGATGAATGAGAGAAACATGTCGATGAATGTTTGAGCAAAAAAAAACACAGATTAAAAAAAGAACGTTATAAATTTTCAAATGTGCGCTCAATCAATCACAAAATGGCTACTCTGTAACATACATCTTGCCAGGTCCCCTCCCATTTGCCCTATAAGGTCATTACAAAATATATACATGTTTGGCGTCCCCGCCCGCTTCCTTTTGGGGGCCGCCTCCTATTTATTTTTTTTAATTTTTTGTTGAAATTTTTTGTTTTAAGAAAAAAACACTGCTAAAATGGATCTATTTCTGATTAAAAAAAAAAAAAAAAATGTCAGCGGGCATCTTGAAAAATAGCCGGACTGTCAGGGAAAATGTACCGAGCGGCCATTTTTGAGCTGCCATTTTGAAAGAAAAAAAAAGCCTCCTCCATCCTATTTTTCGAAAAACAGGACGCTATTAAACATGTTTTTTTTTTATAATTTGGCCTCACACCTGTATTGAAATACTTCAAAATTTATATTTACCCTTTGATTATTTTACGTATGTTGAACATCCTGTACATATAATGTAGTGTAATTTGAGATATTTGGGTACTAACATACACATGTAAATTGTATCATATCCGGGTCCAGACACAAATCTAAAATGCCCTTCGAAATTTATACGCACGTGGTATCTCCTTGCATCATGTACATGTGCAGGGCACAGAGTCACATACTGTAATAAGACACTACACGTATACTTGTATCATTAATGTACTGTACTGTACATCTAATGATATATGTATCCCGGTAAACCATAATACCAGCACAAATAAAAAAAATTGACCCTGAGTAATAGTTATTCACAATGCCGCAGGGAATGCAATCTGCACTGTAGACATGCTTCAACGCATGATCATTCTCTTTTTTTATTTTCTTTAATTCTGCTCTCTCCATTCCAACTTCCCCTTATGTACACGTACAGTCTCATGTTGAGTTGTTGCCAATGGCAACCGTTTCCAGGGAGACCATACAAAGGCAGAAATTGAGGAAGATGATGACAGACGAGAATAGGTTGTTTTACTATTTCCAAGCAAGCCTGGTTAATGAAGTAAAATGCTCAGACTCCACAGGCTCATAAAAAGAAATTGTGCATAAAGTTGATATTCACTGATGGTTGAATTTCATATCAATGCAAAGGTCATATTGTCTACCGGTAGATCATTATTGTACTAATCCCAGCGTCCAAAAGTCAACAACACAAACGGTTTAAGTGGATTATTTTTGATACATTACCGTATTATTGATAGCAAGCAAAATGAACAATATTAAAAATCAGGTTGGGCAATAGCACTACACATATACATGCAGGGAATAATTTTCCTCAAATTTTTTGATTAGCAATTTCAGCCGATGGATAAATACTTCAAATGAAATTCTGTACATTTCTATGGAAGAAAACTGCTACACAAAAGATATTTTGTATAGCAGTCATGCAAAAATGCATAGCAAATTGCGATGCGATACCAGGAAAATTATTCCCTGACATGTACAGTAGACCAGATTTCATCTGTTCGTTCTTTTTGTGTGTGTGAAAACATTATTCCAATGAATTTACACATTTACAGTACATGTACAGTACATGTACTGTACATGTGTCATGTACAATACCAACCTCATTCAACCCCACCAACCCCACTACACCCCCATCCAAAAAAAAAAAGTTTGATCACCATAGTACCTGGTACATGTACTGTATGTAAATACAGCGTAATTATTTGCAAGTATGTGTTTTAGATTCATAATAAACATCAAGCGGTTGATAACTGCCAAAAGCTTGAAAACACGTTATTGTACATACTGTTTGTACACCTGTATAAAGAACATTCACAGATTTACAAGTAAGAAATGAAATGGGCAATGAACTCACAGCTATGACATCAGCGGTGATCTGCATGATCTCCGTGCAGAGGACGACCAGGGCAACGACCACCTGTCCGACGTCCATTTTGATCTGATAGCTGCGACACGATGAGAACAACATCATTCTTTCAATTTCTGTCTGCGATTACCTCAATGCTCCCTCGCTTTACCTCACATGCTCAAGAACTTCAAGAAGGTGTAATGGGTTCTTTGACTGTCTTGGCCAGAGAGCTTTAAACGAAGCCGAGCTGCTTTCCGTTTACTCAATGAACTGACTCGATCCGTATGGCTGATGATGTCACAGTGAGATCATCCGCTTGAAAAGTCTAAGCAGGGATGAATCAAGAAAACAATGGAATGCAGGGATTAATTCACCATCTGCAGAGTGTACAGTATGTTGATATTTAATAACAGGTGCCTTCTTTCTTTAATTAAAATAAAAGTGAGTCAATTCAATAACTGTCACATTGCAAATGGAAGCAATGCACATTACATGACTGCACAGTACATTATTTGTAAATGTATAGTACATGTACATACAGTGAAGGTGAACAAATGAGCTCCAAATCAAGAAAACAATGGAATGCAGGGATTAATTCACCGTCTGCAAAGAGCAAATTGATATAAACAGGTGCCTTCTTTCCTAAATAAAATAAAAGTGAGTCAATTCAATAACTGTCAAATTGCAAATGGAAGCGATCGATGCACATTACTGTAAATGTATGACTGTACAGTACTGTATTACAGTACACATGTACATGTAAGCCTTTAGTGAATCCAGCCCCATAATTTGAAGGTTGAACCATTTCTTTGTACAATGTACAATGTACATGTTGCAATATTGTATGTCTATGGTTGAACAATGTGTTTGGGCTCAAGATATTCCATGTTGTTATTTTTTTCCAGAAACATAAAAGAGGTTTCAGGTACATGTACTGTACATGTACATTATATCCATGAAATACAACTGTACGTATGGAATATATTTTATGCCCAAATCATCAATGAAAAAAAGAATCTCAAGTCAACGTTTCACTCTTGAATATGTACATGTACATACATACACAACTTACCCCCAAGGATGTGATGGCCACTTGCCAATAACATAAGGGAAGAATTGGTTAACAAAGGCTTGCATACCGTAGTTTCTTCCTTGAGATATTTATGTACAACAATTGGACAATATAGCTAGATCACATGTACAGTTTACATTACATGTCGATCTTGAACATGTGGCAACATTTCAAATTTTCATAATTTTCCTTTTGAGTGGCTCCTTATCCTTCAACAGTATACAATCTTTTTTAGAGGAAATTTGCCATGAAGGACATGGCTTATAGATAGGATTTCAACAGGTTGATAATTGATCTACTGAATAGGAAATTTACCATTTCTAATGACTGTTAACAACTTACTATAACATTAATATAGATATTCAATTTCAAAAGGAGGTCTACACTGTATGCTCAGGTAAAAATACACATGAAAATAAAAGGATCATATTAAAATAAGAACTCAATAGTTATGATTCAAAATAAAAAGAGATATACGCTGTAGTTCCTTCTCATTTTACAAATTCTATTTTAGTGACCGATTTAGCCCACAACATGAACATATATGCATTTTAATTCAGCAAAAATGCAGGAAGTAGGCAATTAAAACTGACTAATTTTCCCTAATTTGATAGAATGTTGACTTGTCCAAATTTGAATCAAATGAGGAATCAAATGAGCACTGGGATTAATTTTGGGGAAATGAAGATCAGGGGTTGAGTAATTCAGGCCGTTTACCTACATTTCTTTGAACAAGACTCCACCCTAAAAATATAACTTGAGCTGCCGACTAAACTAAATATCAGTTCAGAATGAACTTAGAAGGGATATACATGTAATACAGAGGTGTCATGTACAGTACACACTATGAAAATGACTGACAAAGAAAGCGCACAAAATATACAGTTCCTCAGGTAGACAAAGGAACATCCCTTCACTGCTATTATGTAAAAATGTGTAGAACAGGTGTCACATGCATATTCACCTTTTTACATAATAGCAGTGAAGGGATGTTCCTTTGTCTACCTGAGGAACTGTATATTTTGTCCGCTTTCTTTGTTTGTCATGTTCATAGTGACATGTACATGAACACTGTGCAAGTTTAAATTTACTCCAATAGACACTATGAATATGACAGACAAAAAAGCGGACAAAATATACAGTTCCTCAGGTAGACAAAGGAACATCCCTTCACTGCTATTATGTAAAAAGGTGAATACGCATGTGACACCTGTTCTACACATTTTTACATAATAGCAGTGAAGGGATGTTCCTTTGTCTACCTGAGGAACTGTATATTTTGTCCGCTTTCTTTGTTTGTCATATTCATAGTGACATGTACATGTACACTGTGCAAGTTTAAATTTACTCCAATAGAGTGTACTCATACAATTTTGTTATGACCCACTGAACTTCTTTGCTTTTTTACCTCTCCTTTCACCTTTTCTAATCCTTTTTTTGTTTGTCTATCTTTACCTCCCTACGTACCGTAATCTTTGAATTCTTCCCCAGCTGCAATTCTAAATCTTCTTCTCACACGTAATGTACTTTCCTTTTCTTTCTTTTTTGTTTTGTTTTCTACAGTCTACACTGTACCTGTATTTTTCATTTTGGTTACAAATTTCTGTTTTTTTTCCTTTCATATTCTCTTTTCATCTACCCTTGTATCAGTTGTGTACCTTTATTTCCATATGTATCTATTTCCTAAGGGGGGGGGGGGGGGGGGGGTATCTCTCTTTTTGTATTTCCTTTTACCAGTGTTTCTTTTTCTTTGTATCACCTTCTTATTCCATCCACTTTGACATGTTTCCTTGTGTTTCTCTTTTGAACTCTTCTACATTTAATTTATTTTACACTGTACCCCCCTTTTTCTTCTCTTTTCCAAATTTACTCAAGACATGCAATCTTTGTTTATTTCTTACATTTTTATATTCTACTCTAGTCTAAACCAGAAACTTTTACAAACAAAAATCAATCAAAAATTGATACAGGCTATTGAGAATTTGAGATTCAATTGTTTTTCAGCAGGAAAGTTTTAATTTCTGAAACAATCAAAACGAACAAGTACATTGTAGATGTACAGTTACCGGTACATGTCATGTGTACTGATGCAGGCTTCTGTACATGTATGTTGGCCACTCACAGTTATTACAATAGACATGCATGGCAGAGTACTACTCCTAGTCTTACTACTTTTTTTGTTGTAGTACTACATTGAAGAAAAGATTGCTGGCGAGTGGCGATTAGTATTACATCACTGGTCTTTTGGCCAAAAATAATAATATGATTAAATTCATCCCTTTTAAAGCAATTTCAGGAGTTGTTGAATTACAAGTACATACAAAGACGTGTGTATCCGGCCAGACGATTTTAAAGAGTAATTTGAAGAAGTTCCTATGCAATAAAATCTTTTAAGACTTATCAAAATATTCATGTTTAGTGCTCTCTCTCACTCTCAGTCTTTATCATACATGTACCAGTACATGTTAGTCTACATTTTGTTAAATCAAAAGGAAAAAGTGATAACCTTATTTTTTATTAAGCCTCCGGCCAAAAGAGTCTTTTGTCTGGAGGCTTAATAAAAAATAAAGCTATGAAAAGACTCAAGAGTTAAATGTAACTAACACTCTCTTGTTTCTTGCTTCCACTTCATCAAACATGTCAATATTCAGAAAAAAATGTAAAATGATGTTATAAATATTATTATTAACTACCTTTTTTGACTTGAAACAAGTCAAGATTGTTCTTCATCAAATTTCCATGTGATTTTTAGCACTTTAATGTACATGTAGTCACTTATTATTTAGAATATAAGGACAAAGTATATTGGTATTAGCGCCTAAATTCCTTGTTAATGAAGCCATGGATAGGAACAAGAGGTTAAGGGTGCGTTAATGCTCACTTTGAAGGAAGAATGAGCGTTTTGAAATGCTCATCGTAAACGCAGCTCCATGGGGGTACTGTTTATGATGCTTTCCAAGTAAAAAAATACAGTGTACATGGGGACGGGGTTACAATACTAGAGGCGAATTTTCCCCCCAAATGCCAAAAAGAGCCCCCCCCCCCCCCCCCCCCCCCCCGAAACGAAAGTCATGAAAGAGCCCCAAAAATGAGCATAGAGTTCAATGCTTACAAATTAATGAGTGTTATTTTCATGCAAGCCAGCTTGAAAAGTACTGCAGGTTTCGGGTTCCCAATCCGCGCTGGCATTGAAAAAATGGATTCCACGTAAGAAAATACCTCCAGTTCACCGTCTACTTTTATGGGTTGTCCCCCTCAGAACGTGAAAATCTCTGTAGACCCTAGAGTCTACTAGTACTAGAGTAGAGTAGTGGCTCCGGTGTGCGGCCGGTCGGCGGGAACTGCCGATTCTATTTTTATTCAAATAGACCCTACTCACAGAATACTTCAATACCCTCAATATAGAGTCCATATAGACCCTACTTATTAAATAGAAGTCTCTACAACTAGACTAGGTCTAGTCTACAAAGTCAATGTGAAATGCTTCGAGAAAATCATTTTGTGCCTGTGGAATCCATTTTTTGCATTGCCAACGCGCGTATCACTGCACTATCAGAATCGTAAGCCTACTGTTCTGACGTGAAAAAGGTGAGCATAAACACATCCTAAGACTGAACACTCATGGATCACGTGAGTTAAGTTTCTAGTAAACCTTTGGCTGCCTTTACCTCATTATTGTTAGTACCGGTTACCTCATTATTGTTAGTACCGGTTACCGCATCCTGCTGGTATCGACAGTCAACAGTGAACACACATTACTCGAGAATTCTACACACAGTATCGAACAAGTTACACAATCGCAAAAACATACCAGTGTTATACCAAAATTACCCAAATAATGAAATAGAAAATAGCATACCTAAGAACTTCGATTCTTCATCAAAATGATAAGTCCTTTATATGTTTGATGGTAATAAAGATGAGATTTTCTGACTCGTTCACAAGACAGATTTTCATCTGCAACATTCATGCACAAGTTCCATGATAAACATAACATTATAATTATTATGTCTTGTGATGGCGCTAGATCAACTGAACGAGTAACGTCAGCAGCTACTAATATGCAAAGCCATTATGTACCCGGTAGGCCGACTTAAATAGCAGAGCCCCCCCCCCCCCCCCCCCCCCCCCCCCCCCCCCCCCCCCCCCCCCCCCCCCCCCCCCCCCCCCCCCCCCCCCCCCCCCCCCCCCCCCCCCCCCCCCCCCCCCCCCCCCCCCCCCCACTGAGCGACTTTTCGGCCGCCGCGATTTTCAAATTTTTGGGAGCAAAACAAAATTAAAAAATTGGGCCCCGGCCCCGCCCCGGCCTCCCCTAAGAAATCCTGGATCCGCGCCTGTAATGCGACTATGTAGTCAGCCCACCTACAGCCGGCGCTCCAGATGGGGGGGGGGGGGGGGGGGGGGCAGAGGGGCAGAGTGCTCCCTGCCCCCCACACTTTTTCAAGTATCCCTAAAGTGCCCCTTTTACTTTGAAAAGTGCCCCTATTAATTTATAAAAGTGCCCCTTCCCCTTTCCACCTCTGATAAGTGTCCCTTTTATTTTGACACGTTCCCCTTTGACAAGTTTCCATTTTCCTAATTTGCAATTTTCAAATCTGAGAGGTTCCCCTTTTGCTTTGACAAGTTCCCCCTTTTCCTTCTTATAAGTGCCCCTTCCCCTTCTCATATTACCCCTTTCCATCTTTGATATTTACCTCTTTTCATCTTTGAGGTGTTGTGGTCGATTGGAAACGTCACCCGACTGTCGATAACAAGGTCCGCGGTTCGAGTCCCGCCGCGGCACTAATGTCCTCAAGTTTGGCAAGACATTGATCTACATTTGCCACACTCAACCCATGAGGTAAATGGTACCTGGTAGGATTATTCCCTGATAAGGCTGCATGCCGGAGCTAAAGATAGGGTAATAAAGTCCAAAGCTCTTTGGAAGCGCATATAGAGATGTTATTTCATAAATCCCTTTTCATCCCTGGCGTGCCTTTTTTGTAGGTGTAAGAAGTGCCCCATTTTCACCTCTGATAATTAGCCTTTGTGCTTTAGCACTTGCTTCTTTTCTTTTCTAATAAGTGTCCCCTTTTCCTCTCATCATAATAACGTGCCCCTAATTTAAAGCGACTAGCAATTTCCCCAATGCTCGCTCGCTCGCTACGCTCGCCCGTAGTTATAGATTTTGATGTAACTTATTAAAGGTCTTTTCAGTCTTCCGTTATGAGAATGTGCTTTTATAACCCCATCAGTATTGGGGGGGGGGGGGGGGGGGGTAAGAGCACATTTTTTTTAATATTTAGCCCCGGAAATTGGAAAATTACGTCGTCAGATATTTCGTTCAGTGGCTTGGTGGGCGGGGGAGGAACACTTTTTGTTTGCCTCGTTTAGCACAAAAGAATTTAAAAAAAAAGGTTTTAAAAAAGGGGGGTTACCCCCCCCCCCCCTGCGTACGTGTGCAGGCAGTTTTAATAATGGAACAGCTAGACAAGAGGTCCTGCAACTGAACATGGGCCCTGCTATACAGAGCTCATATATCCATGTACAAAAGATATATGCTCTCACGATTGACAGTTTTCATGAATTAGAGATTATAGTAGAGCCTAGAGGTGTTCTTTATTTCTTTGATTGATTGATTGATTGATTTGATTGATTTTTATTCGACAAGCTTCCAACAACAACAATATACAAGAATAACAGATCAAAATTAAGTCAGCTTGAACAGGATAACCCACGAAAGCTCGAGAGCTTATTTCCAGTGGGGCCCGGGGACCAGACATGTATAAAATTAATAAGTTAAAATAGTAATATTTACAGACAGATAAGAAAATTAAAAGAACTACTTATTAAAGATAATAATAATAATAACAACATTAAACTGATGATAGAAATGATATTAAGTACAAGAAGAAAAAGAAGAAGGAGAAGAAGAAAAAGAGGAGAAGGAAGAAGAGGAAAATAATGATGAATTTGTAGAATTTCTATAACGTACGAAAACATATACAACATGAAAAAGTATGAACCGACAGAAGAATAAAAATTTCAATCATATAACATGTCATTCACTTCTCTTCTCGATCTTCTCCTTCTCCTTTTTACCTTTTACGAGTCTTCAACAAAATCTTTTTCCCCTTCTTCTTTTTTCCCTTCTTTTTCTTCTTCTCCTTCTTCTATTTTCTTCCCTTTTAATTTTTTTCTTCATGCATGATAGCAGTGGGGGGGGGGGGGGGGATTGCTCGTTTTGTTGAAGGATACGGCATGTCTCTGTTTTGTTTTGAACAAAAAAAAAGTTATGTGAGTTGAACAGCAGGCAACTTTTTGGCAACGCCTGTTCTTCCATGCCACAGAACTGAAAATAATGAAGTTCTGCGCCCCATACATACTTTCTTTTGATTTTTTCACATTTCGAACCATAATTTGTCGATATCTTCAGTTTTTCAATGACGTCATCATTCTGTAACTGCCGTACTGCAGTCTGCTGTTTCTTTGGAGCTTGTGACCTAAATTCATCAAAATGCCTTTAGCTAAACATTCTGATCATTTTGTGCTTCCCAATGTCATGATAATGGTTGTAGTAACATTAGGGCTTTTACTGACAGTGGTAAGCTGAAACGAAATTGTATATTTGCATTGCAAGATTGTGATATGTGGAAGTTGTCTTGGCCCTGAACTGGTTGGTTTTTTGACATCCTGGTAAGCGGCCAGGCCAGGGGAGGACATGGCCCAGTGTACCGTTGCGCGTTGCGACGTGCAGTTGAATTGCAGTTAGGTACATGATGTAGTTGCGGCTCAGCTCAGCTAGCGCTAGCAGCTCTGAAACGGGGTTTTGGGATAAGTGGATTGATCTGATATTTGTGTGTTTGTTTGTTTTATTGTGCCGCCTGCGTAGCGAAAAGCGAGATATAGCCATTGGCGCCGCTTTTCCGGTGACGACGACGGCGACGGCGTCAACATGCATAAATAACTTAACCTATAAGGTTGGGTTTTTGAAATGTTGATATCATTTTTAAAGTATAAGTTCTTAGTCAATGAAACTTAGACTAGACTAGGGTTATCAAGTTTTTTTTTTTTTTTTTTTTTTTTCCATTTAAAATTATTAAAAAACTTGAATTCGGCGTAAATATTCACAATTGAATGACACACGCCCTTAAAACTAAAACAACAACAACAACATCCCCAATCATGTGAGCAGAATTTCAGGTCACAAAGTCAAGGTCAAAGGTCATTTCAGGTCAACAGACTTGGACTATGTTGTGGCATCATCATCGAAAACTTAACCTTAAGTTAGATTTTTTAATTTTTGATATAATTGTATAACTATAAGTATAACTTAGTCAATGAAACTTGAACTATAGCAAATTCCCAATCATGTGAGTAGAATTTCAGGTCACTAAGTTAAGGTCAAATGTCATTTTAGGCCAACAAACTTAGAGTTAGACTTTGTTGTGGCATCAACATCAAGATTTTGAATTTTAACTTATTTTCAAAATTGTTTGTTCAAATTCCATGAAATTTGTACCCAAGTATCACAAATCATATGATGAACATTCTAGGTCACAATGTCAAAGGTCATTTTAGGTCAGTAGACTTGGATTATGTTTTCACAACTTAATATGATAATTAATAAATCAATTTTTTGTATTAATTTGTTCATATTTCATTTAAGTTATCGATCGTGGTACAATCAACAGTAAATAATTCTTCTGATGATTCTTAGTCAATATTCACTTCAAAATGCTGATGATATTCAGAGGATTTCATTTTGGGGGGCCTGCGCTAAATGGGCCACCCTGCCTATAAATAATGTTCCAACCTCAATTTTTCATCATATCGAATTACGTAATGCAGGTGAGACCGTCGAGAGCGTTTCCCTTGTTTCCATATAAAAAGACATCATGCATTAATTTTAGTAAAATAATAACAGACAGAATTATGAATTACGAGATGAAATAAACGGCTGGATCTGGATAGCCCATATTCAGCGGTATCGTTATGATGCCCCTGGTCTTTCATGGGGAACAGAAATGGTACAGTAAAATAATACAATCTATATTAACAAACGACAAAGATGCCAACCCTATATCACCTGGACCTTGTTCCATAGTTTTTAAATTGAAAAACAAGTTGTTCTAAGTTCTTACATAGATCTAGATCTGTCTTGTATATTCCTTAAATTTGTTACTGGAATAATGAGTTTAAAACTGTAGTGTAGACGTAATTTAAGAATTTAAGAACCATTGATATCAGAGTCAGAGACGGAAGCTTTCGGTCTAAAGTTAGCTATATGTAGGTCAACTCTTATTTCTGGATTATTATATTAGATGCTCGATCTCAATTTAGATTGCTGGCTTTTTAGTTTTTATATAATATTTTGTTTTTGTCTCAGTTGTGTACCTTCAAACCTGATGTTGTGCCTTACGACTACTTGGGACCCCTTGGTGCATTGGCCCACTACCTTGCGTACAAACAAACCCTTGTGATGCAGACGATGTAAGTTTATATGTAAGACAATGGGATAACTCAGACAATGTCTCACAGACAGAAATAGGACGGGGTATTATGGGAAGTTCGGAATAATGCGTTTCGTGTTTTTCGTAACTCATGAAATATGAATAATAGGTGGACTGGTTGATTAGGGCCTTTGTTGAATACGTTTAGATGTAAGCTGTAATATGGCAGAAGAACCCTTGTCTAGATGCTGAACAGGCGTTGACAAGTAGTAGCAGAATTAATAGAAGTACAAGTAGAAGTAGAGACATAAATCGGGAGAAAATCAATTTTTCACATCCTTAAAACATTTCAAAACTTGGTAATGGAATGAATAATTCAGCCCTGGTACCGGTAGATGGACCAGATTGACATATCACATCATAATTAAGACATCATTTATCAATAATACAAATGTTTTTCCCAAATGAAAGTATCTGAAGTATCTGTATTCTAACAATGTAATGTAGTAAATTTTCGCATAAAATCATAAATCGCCCTCTAAGATTCATACATGTCCTTTTTTATTTAAGAATCTCATAAAATGAGATCATGATAACATATATTGTATATTATCACTGCAAATCATTTTATAAAAACCCTTTTATGATCAATACCTCTTAAAATATTAGTCATGTAAAGCAGGATTATGCAAATATATTTTCAGTGTTTTTGTTGATTTAATATTTAATAATCCATGTAGTTACAATCTCTTTGTATCTCATTTTAGACCTTAAAAAGATATTACAATAACTTGCCACTTTCCATATGACAATTGACATATGTACATGTACATGTCATAATTCTACATGCATTCATCCAGTGCAGGATGCGTTTTCTTACATACATGTTACATTTTTTGTTTCTTTTCCTGTTACAGATGCTATACAGCAATCTTCATGCATGTTTTAGAGAGTTTCTATGCTTATTATCTTGCAGGGTGAGTATACTAAAGTGTGCTTTAAGAATTCTTTTAGGGGAAATTCACCCTGATATGAAATTGGTTTTAATAGAAGCAGAAAAGAGAGAGAGGAATAGGTCAGAGAAAGTTCAAGCGAAATCCGATTGAAAATAAGAAAGTTATGAATATTATATGTAAAGTTGTCATCAGTGGAACACAAATTGGAGACACTGTGACATATCTTGCGAGCTTCTCTCCAATTTGCTCTGTACAGAGAATTTTGTAAACTTTCATCCTACAGGGGTGGTATAGTTTGCAACAATTATTAGGAGTGAAAAATATGATTGAAAATTTCCTTGAGGGAAACTTTACATTTGTAAATTTTTTAGTATACATGTAGGTTTAATTGGGTGGGGAGCTTGCAAGATACATCACAAAGTTGTTAGTTTGTTCGCAGCTCCCAAAATGCCCAACTTTCTCATTTTTAATCAGTTTTTTGCTGAAGCATTCACTGACCTGGTTTTCCCATTTTTCGACTTCTATTAAAACCAACTCAATTTCAAGGTGGAATACCGCTTTTTATTGGTATGATAGTCACAAAATTGTTCTACTGTAGATAAGAGCTAGAACCCTGCTAGAGATGTTAGTACATCTACATCATATAGATTGCAGAAAATCAAGTATGATTCTTTTATGGACTGCTATTCAATCTTTTTAATAATAGAAATAATCTGTAACATGATGGACCCCCCCTCCCTGGCCAGTTACTAACAATGAAAGTTGATTGTCCAAGACAACTACTCCTACAACCTTCTAGGACAACCATCTCCTTCATAACTAACCCCCCAAAATCCTCCAGATAACTAAAATGACTGCCTAGTGGGTAATATAGTATGGGCTAGTTGTATTTTGTATTTTTTTGTATTTATTAACATTTATTTCCTTCTCAACAGCACAATATAAAACACAATGTATATATACATGATATATGTAACAATTATTTCAACATAGAGTATACAGTAATTAATTCAGATACGGAAGGAGGCGAAAACCCGGAAAGCGTAGCTTGAGTTGGGAACGCCCATAATAAGGGGAAGTTGTTTGGTTGTCTGAGGTTAACAATATTGTTGTAGGAGTAAGTGTAAGAGAGTTAGAGTTGTTGGCATAGGGGCAGGGCGCGACAAACCCGCTTGCCCGACGTCCCGGGGCAACCAAATTGAGCCGTCGGGCAAGTAAATCAAATTATCACTTGCCCGATTCGGGCAAGTGATACTTTTACAGTAATTTCCTAGTGTCCAAGAACTCTACCATTCACCCGTCAACTTCTTACCCGTCGTCAAAATCCAGAAGCAAAAAAGCGATCGTTCCGATTTCGAAAAAACTTCACAGACAGCTAGCCAGCTCAGCTAGCTCAGCGCGCATGCAACAGTGACACTTCAAGCCATGAATGCCGCTCCGCCTCCACGCACGGCCGGCCGTGAGCTAGCTAGAGACAGCTAGCGCGATCGTACCAGCTGCGAGCTTATTCGCGCTCTCTCTCTCTAGCTCTGCAGGCCGCACCGACAGGCCTTTGCTATTCTCTGATTGCCGATTGGTTGAATCACGCCAAATATGACGTCATTATTCTAGGGAAATGAACACGTGCGAATCGGAATGGAATAAACAACAGGGATTTTCTAGTAAGTACAAAAAGTCAAATGTTTGATATTTATTCATAATGACTGTTAATGATTGTGAACATATTATTTAAAACTCGCTGCTCATATAAATCAGATGAATGTTTTTGTCTCGTTTTCAATTTATTACTGCGGTCTCAAGATCCGACCGAGCGAGTCATTTTGATAATAGTATCGAGACCCCCAGAATATAAGCCGTTGTTGTTTTGTTTTCATGGTTTTAGCGACGTTGTTTAGTCTAGTTTCATGTGAATCTGATTATTTATGGAGAATCAATAAAATGCGTTTTTTTAAACCTTCAACCATCCTTTGTTGACCATTTTCTTTGACATATTAGGTTATTATTCAGTACAGTTACACTGTACATGTATGTGCATTAATTTGCTATCTAAAACACTAACTTATCATTACGAGATAATAAATGCTTTAACCTCGAGTCCTTTTTCGCTTTAAAGTTTTGGGCAAGTGGAAATATTGTTTGGGCAAGTAAATTGAAAACCCACTTGCCCGACAGGGCAAGTGGTGAAAAAAATTCTTGTAGCACCCTGATAGGGGGGAGGGGGTGATGATGGGTCAGGTATAAGAAGCATACCAGCCAAAAATAGATAAAACTGTACCACAGATGTCATTGGGTCTTTTTCAGATCGAGATGACAAATAAAAAATGTTTGGAGTTAGATTCGACTCATTCAAGGTTTTAAGATGGTCTTGGAACAATCGTAAATGTACTTCAAGCATTTATATTGAATTCAACAGGATTCACTAATCACTCTGCGTCAAATGTCATAATCTTATTGATGTTTCTCCCCTTTATCTCTTTTCCATTTCCCATCATTTGACAGGATGAAAGAATTATCAAGCTCCGCGAGACTAAAATGGGGCATTGGCACCTTCTTTTTCGGCATCTTCTGCATGTATCAGTTGTTAAAGTATAACCCGACCAAAGGCCAGAAGAGAGAATGAGGTGAATAAAGTATGAGGTGTAGAAATAATATGAGCTTTCTTCAGGGATGCAAGTTTTCAAATTATTCCCTGATTTTCAGACCCTCTTCAGCTTTCATATGGGTTTTAATATGTTTACCAGTAGGTCCTTTTTCAGGCCAATTGGAGAAAGCCAACTGGTATCCCTGTAATAACTAGTTCGCTGACAACCCATTGAAACGTGTGTGATAAAATTAACATGCTTTTCAATGGGATGATGATTTTCTGAAATGATGCCCAGAATATGACAGGCTCAGGTCTATAGGAAATGGTGGTTACACCGAAATCATACCGTTTTCAACAGGTTAAAGGAGAATCTTTTGCATGCATCATTTGTTGAAGTATGATCCATGTCGCCCAACCTAAGATCAGAAGAGGAAATGAACTGAAAGAAGTAGTTCGTAGGAGTCTTTTCTTTAACGAAATGGCATGAACAGATGCGTCCAGAATGCAAAATGCATAACAGTGATGTTTGTTAATCAACAGTTCCTGTTGCTAACATATCTGAATGAAAGTTTAGCTAACATTAAGCCTCATGCATTTACCAACTCCATATCCTAACAATGTGATAAAATTATGATTTTCATCAATTATGCAGTTCACGTTCCGGATGCATGTTTTCGTGCCATTGCATTTTGCCAAGCTACCTTAACCGATTGACAATGGTGCTCAGTAACAGGACATGGCTTTTACAACAATTTCAAACAGTATTCAACAGCATAGAGGGGGAAGTCCATGTTGATATCATGTTTATTTCTGTATTAAAAAGCAGCAAAATGAGATAAAACAGATTAGTGATAGATAGAGGCAAAGAATCACCATCTGTAATACCTCATTTTTTGCAGAATTGATGTACCCTGTACTCCAAAGCACTCTTATCACTGTGATGGATTTTCCATGTAAAAAAGCACAAAAAACACAGATACCTCTATTACATATATTGCATATCTTGTCATAAAATGCCTTCATGTAATAGGATGCAAAATCTAATGCGATTGGATACGCATGTTTGCACCCATAAAAAGGGAACTGGCTGGAATGCTCCCTAGTACAGTAGTGGTGAATGCGTACTATTAAAGGTATTTGCAGACCAAAAAAATTATGAAAAAGTTAAATTCCAACTGCATTTGAAAGATAATACTTATTTAGAACTTCCCTAAAAAAGGTGGGGCTTGAAAATGTCTTCAAGTGGGAAAATAATGACTATTAGTTGTCAAATCGACTTTAGGGCTTTAGAGCCCAAAAGTAATAGTCTTGATTTTCAGACAATTGTACCGAATGGTCATACGTTTTATGCTGCGCAAAGATTCAATCAGTTTAATCTTGGCCATCACAAGAAGTGGGTTATTGATGTAGACAAATGCTCATGTACCCTTTACAACTCTGTTCATGTATGTTATTACCAAAGAAGAAAAAAAGCCAGTCAGTCACTCAATAGTGTCTGACAGTGAAGTCTAGCAAGTAAACGGGTTGCCTTGCATAATTTGAATATGAGGACACTGCTAACGTTTAAATTTCACAGATGGGACATACATGACATATTCATAATTCCTGCAAAGTTCTACAGAATTTGAGGTTGGCTGCAAAAGGGACATAGTACCTTTAAGTGCAGTTCAATCGTAATAAAATCTAGTAACGGGTAATAGTAATATTGTTTTGTGCATCAGTTGGTCAATTGGTAAAGCTCTTTACAAGAAACAGTCATTATTATTATTAGATCATTGTGGTATGCAAGATAAATGTGTATGATTTGAAAAGTACATGTAATTCCACATTCCGTAGTTTTCGGAAAGTCTTTGCTTGTACAAAATACCCTGTGTCTATTTGCTTATTATGATCAATATTTGTTATCGTCACAATTTGAGAGAAGAATGTGTAATAGATAAGATTGTAATGTCAATTTTAATTGCTAATATCTTGCTATTTACAATTATATGTTGTAAATTGCAAATGAATATGATCAAATCTAATACATGTGCATAGAGAATAGAGATATACCGGTATATACACATGAATGCAGCCTGTAAGGTGTAACTGGAACAAATTAATTAATTTGATATTGTTTTTCATTCCTTATACATGTATCTTACTGTGAGACGTATTCATCCTATGCAATTTGCTTTAGTTGCATATATTTGTACGTGCAATGGAGTACTTTTTCATCAAATATCATTGTCTTCAAATAAAATGATCATTTTTTAAACAGAAAAATTACAATTCATGTCTTTTTACTGATTGTGCCATTTTAAACGGTACAACAATGTTGTTGCATTCATTACTTTAGAGGGGGAGGGGGGGGGGGGGAGGCAGTTCAAGGAAATGTTCTGATCTAAGTGATAATAATGCATTTGTCCCATAAGCTCTAAAACATGTGTGGGGGAAGGGGTGGTAGGTTTTGTGTTGTGCACTGTATACACATTTTTCACACACTTTCTTCACCTGTTCTTCTCTCCTTGTCTCATCTCCCTACCTCCCCCCCCCCCTCTCTCTTTTCTCTCTCTCTCTCTCTCTCTCTCTCTCTCTCTCCTCTCTCTCTCAAGCTTCTTTCTCATTTCATATGTCCATCCTTTTACACACTTTTGATGATCAAGTATTGGGAGGTTTTCTACTCATCAGATTTATGACCGACTGAAATAACCTAGCTGAAAATCATGGGACTACATGCCATTGGGTACTTGGAAGTGTTCACAATTTTGCACAGTTTGGAAATTATGACTAATATGATAGACAATTCACAATGCATTTTATAGAGTTTATTTCAAAATGCAGTAATAAATACCCAAGACTGAAAATTAAAACCTAATAAAAACCTTTGGTATGTAGAATAAAGGCACAGAGGCCTTAAGTACAAACAGCCCTGAAAACATTTTCAATCTTTATGTCTTTTTATTGTATCTTCAATTAATTATTATACCAATATATAAAACAACATAGTCATCAAACAGAGAAATAAATTTACATGTGACATGACAAACAAAATTACTATTACTTACCAAATACAGTACATTTGTACATGACAAAAAGGTAAGCCCCCCCCCTCCCTCCTTGAGCAGCTCCTCATAATTTTGAACCAGAATTTGTGAATAAATTTAACTAGAAGGGACTGTGCCTGATGTGTGGTTCTTACATGTATACACATTCTGTGTGATCTTTTGTCATGAATTTGACTGTTTCTCAGTACACCAGAGAAATGACAACCTTACAAGTAGATTTTGAAATGTGGTCATTTTGTCTTTATAGTGTGCTCATTCAAGCATAACTTGATCTGATTTTCACACAAAAGTTACATAAGAACCACATGTGGTCACAGTCCCTTATAGGTAACATTTGTTCAAAAATTTCTAGTAAACAAATTATGAGAAGTTGCTTGATCAGGGGGGAACTTGCCTATTTTTTTGTGTTTAGCATTTATAACAATTTATTATAGATAATGAAAATATTGGCCAAATGTGAACAAAATTATGTCTTTGCAAGACCCAACCACAACATTTGAAAACAATGATTTTATTTTTAAGTACAGTGTACACAAGTATACACCACCATCATTTTGAGTGGTGCACAGAGCCAATATTGCAGGAAGGAAACATCTTATTCATCACTTTAATTACATGTAATCATTAACATTTAAAAAAAAAATGGGAAGTAGAAAGACTTTTCATCTTGAAAATCAAAAACACAACTCTTTTGGTTTATAAAGCTATGAATGTGATTGATGACAATATACACCTTTGGCATTGATAGTAACAACTTTTTAGTGTGTAAACCCTGACCCCTCTAGCAATACTCACGCTAGAGACCAGTACATTTAGAAATGATATGATACAATTAACGTTTAGCTAAAAAATAAGTGTCAAATTGATGTGGCAAGAGTTCAGATATATCGCAGTAAACTGCAGCAAAAAAGCCCCACAGGTTTTTTTATATGTGTAAATGAATGGCAACTGTGCACAACTAAGGACTTGCGCGTATTGAGCTACGCGTTACTGCTAGACACAGAAATGTCAAGTGTATTACACTTTATGTTGTAAAAATCGCTGCGGTTTGGCCACGTCATAGCTGAACAAGCAAGCCTTAACACTGGTAGGTTTTTATTCCTGACAATTGTTCAAAAACTTGGTGTCAGAGAAGGGGTCAATTAACGTATTCTAAAAACCAGAAACTTCCGCATTTTGTAATCAATAACAATTTCTGCCGGCATGAAACATTTGCAAATTGCAAAATATTCTGGTGTATCAGTTATAATTGATTAATTTCACATGAAATTATCATGAATCTGAACCAATCGTAAAATTCATGAAAACAACAACAATTTCAAGAAGACAAAAAACTTTCCAAAATTGCGAATAAATTCAGTTGTACATGTATCAGTTATGATTCATTCATTTCACATAGTGAATCTGAACCGATCATGAAATTCAAGAACATTTCACACATGCGAATATTCAATAACAAGTGCCAAAATGTTATTACAAATTTGCTCTCGGCCAACCGAGTCCAAATGCAATGATTTCAGTAGCTTAAAACAGTTATGGTAACTTGCTATCGTTAACAATTAGGTTTACGGAACAGCTAGGGCCCTGTTTTATTTTTTAGAGTAGTTTGTTTTAAAGAACCTATTTAAAGCCGAGTTATCTCAGATTACCCAGAGCCATGGACGCCCATCCTGCAATGAGGGTCATGCCACCGATGGGCGCCAGTCTGTTGAGAGCTGTCGAACCAGTCAGGGCAGAAAAGTAGCAAGTACCTGAGAACAACACCATCCCCAATGTCAACAGGCTACCGGACTGGATGCAAATAAAATCAAAAGATTATAATGAGAAAGGAATTAATGACGTCCATGGTAATGTCTTGTCTATTTATCTTCTTTTGAAGTAATCAGAGTTTGCAGTATTGTTACTGGTCAGTCATGGGGTGATTCTTAATATTTCTGATGGAGATTTATTATTACCTAGCTTGCAATTATTGAAGTCAGGGTTATTTTATTTTCCCAAGATACCGGTACTTTTTTGGTATTAATATTTTCCACTCGGACATTATCATTATTATTATTACTATCATCATCATCATCATCATCATCATCATCATCATCAAGATCATCATCATCATCATCATCATCATCATCAAGATCATCATCATCATCATCATAATCATCATCATCATCAAGATCATCATCATCATCATCATCATCATCATCAACATCATCATCATCATCATTGTTATTGTTGTTGTTGTCATTAATTACTATTACGCTGGTGACATTACTGCCTTAAAAAAATGGCAATCATGGCAGGTTTGTTTTGAACCTTCTCTTACCAGATTAGGGTTATTGGTGAGAGGGATCCCCAAGAGAGCCAAGGTGTGCACAAAATGGTATCTGCTTGCTGTGTCAAATGTCTGGAGTATTTAGAAAAGAGATAAACAAAGATCATAAGCACTATATAAACACAGAAAAGACAAGTAAAGTGATTAAATCAATTCAAATAAATGCAGATACATTACAAATAAAAATGAAAGGAACTTGTAATGCCTGCATTGTGTGAGCTTGCCAATCACGCATTACAAAAAGGGAGAACAAAATGACAAGCACTTAAGGCATTTAGATTTGTTAGTTCACAGCATCTGATTGCAATTCTCTAAAACGTGTATTTATCAAGCATTTTAAAAGTTAAACATGAAAACTTATGATTCAGTTTTCACTGTGAATGGAAAAGGTCAACTATATCCTTGAATGATCAAATAAGAATTGAGAAGCTACATGTACATGAATAGTGGTTTTTCATTTAGACTTTGAATATAATTAAAATGGCTACTTCCATTTATAATGCATTCAAATTTAAATGGATACATTTTTGTTAAGAGCACCTTAGAAATTATTTCTATATGCACCTTTTTACAAATAATTGTATTTTAATTTATGTATAGAAATGTAGAATGCAAGTTACACAAAATATTGTTCAGAATCCAGCATGTCCATAGGACCTACCAACGACTAGTGTTTGCATACATGCAAGATACAAGCAGTTAAATGTATGATCTCTATGCTAGGTAATAGTATAGTTTAATACAATTTGAAAATGGTCTATTGTATAATAACAACTTTTACTTACATGTTTCGCTTCAGGTGATTGATTTTTCATGCCTTTAATGAAAAAGAAAAAAAAATTAGACTTTGGAAATATATGTACATGATTTAACAAGTAGAATCGTATTTCTGTACAAGAACTTTTCTTTTCTTCTAAAGAATAATACAAAATTAATTCTTCCTCTTCTTCCAATGCAAGTACAGTCCTCTGGCTAGAGTATTTTCGTACTTTTGCCAAAGCATTATGCAAAACCATGCAGAGATATATGTCATTCAAGTAAACAATTCAATTGTTGATCATACGCAACTCAGTATCTCTTGATCTTGAATAAATATGACTTGCATCATGTACCTAAATGATGTTGTCTGTGCTATTAATAGAATCAACTGTAAATCTAACTTAACTTAAACTTAAAGGGCGTGTCAGGCCCATCTGTAAGTTTTAAGGAATAAATAGAGGAAAATTAAACAAACAAAACATTGTAAGTTTCTTCATATTAATTGGATAAAAACAAAGAGAGGTGTGGAATTTAAACGTTTTACATTATTTCATGAAACAGTGTTATGAATCACATTGGCTGTACGCGAGTTGACGATTTGTTGATGCTGGGGATAATAATTATAAAGAAAAGTCAGCTCAGGACGGTAAAGTAGATAGGCCTAGCCCTAGATCTAAAGCAAAAGTAAAGGCAAAATTAAGACAGCAATAATTACAGACATGACACGTCATAACATAATCAGGATAATAATAAGTTGAAGAACAATCTAACAAACAACAGAACTGCTCCGCCCCGCCCCTGGCAAATCCGCCGCTACTTATAAAACCTATTTTATATTAACAAAGTTATTTGAGTTTTTTTTTTTTTTGGGGGGGGGGGGGATATTTTACATGCATGGAAAAGTTAGTTCAAAAGCTATTTGTTTACTACATTAATTTAGGCATGTGGGACTACATATTTTTTTTAAAGGCGAAGAAGGCACATACCATGAGCTCCGTACGCCCCAAGAGCAACGGCCAGAGCACCCGAAATTCCTGCAATCTGAACAAAGAGTTCCCCTGGTTTAACGATGGCAGGCATTTTTAATTTAATCAAGTAATGATCAAAAGCTCAAACAATGATAAAGTCAAGTTTTTTCGGAGTCGATGTGGAAAATATATCATCTAAAAATCGTAGATGGCGCTAGACTGAACGACAAAAAAGCGTCCTTGGTTTCGACTGCATTTCTCACGATCTCGATCAGTTTTCTTTTCCATCTTAATTGTTGCAAGATCAGATAAAGTATGGCTTCTGGAGATGTTCAGAAGGACAAGAAGTTCCATTTCAGGGAACTGGATAAGAACAGTGCATCTCTGAAGAACAATGAGGTGCAAGATTCGCTGATGAAATGGTATGAAAATGTTCGGCTTAAGTTAGGCCCTCAATTATCAGTATCACTCACTGCACTCCTCAGCTCAGACTCTGCCCGTCATGCCGGGGTCCTGGCCTGCCGCGCGTCGCGGGGCGGCCGCGAGCGCGAGCCTAGACTTTCAGCGAGTACGATCTAGATTCTACTGCTTAGTTTTTATATAAGTTACAGGGCCAGGGTGGCCAATAAAAACCGACTAGCATATTTCCGATAAAAGGGGGGAATATTTTAGTTGAAGAATCTTCTTAAAAGACAGTTAATGTTACCAAATTTGCCAACATTTTTTTGTCTTGACTCATTTCTTGCGTAACAATGTGGAACTTGAATGAACTTGAGAATGATACATGTAGCCTACTTGAGTCTTGAAGATATTTTGAAATTCAGGCACATGCACATACTGCATGGTCCTTGGTCTTGCAGGAAATGACAATTATCATTGACTCAATGTCAAAATTGTAATCGTCCACCCTCCCCCACCTCCAGTCAAAACTCTTCTTCGGAGTATTTAGGAGGAAAATAATCCAAGATCCAAGAAAAAATGGTATTAAAATCTGAATTTAATTTAGTTTAGGTACACGTCAATTAGGCCAAGCACGCACCTCTTTACACCAATCATATAGGCCTAGATCTAGAGGGGTCTATATGTTATAACTTATACATGTATGTTGTCTGATTAACTTGCTCATAATAATATTAATAAGCTTCCTTTGACATTTGTGTGTGAAATAAGAGTTATGTTAGACAATAATTATTAAGAACAAATATTCATGATGGTTAGTGCTGGTTAGTTAGATCTACACTGTAGTTAGTGATGGATTTTTTTACATATATGTTAAGCATCGATCTGGACACCCTCCCCCCCCCCCCTCCTCCCTCAAACATTTTAGATCTAGACTTGGTCAGAAAATGTTGATATTGTGCCTTTAACTCACATATTGTACGTGTATGTTATGTTCATTTGTTAATTTAGTTATATTTTACAAATTGTTTTCGCAGGGGAATGAAAGGTCGGATGTTTGTGCAGTTTTTCAGCTATGACCAACTCTTTCAGGCTTACCAAAAGGATGACTTTATTTTGGTATGTATGTATGTATGGTGATTATCTAACATACAAAACTAATAGCAAATTAAAACTACAAGAAAAGAAATAACAATGAAGCAACATTGAACACAGTTTACTGAAATGTGTGTGTTGTAGTTTTTCAGTGAAAAAACTTGGAATCACTTCACACTTCAAGTCTTTAATAAATCCACATCATTTTCTAGGATTTAATCGGTTCCCCATTTATATGCACATTTCAAAACATTAATACTACTAATAATAGTACATAGATCTATATCTCAGAAAATGAATTGCTCAATTTTATTATAGTGTTAGATCATAGAATCTACACTAGTATAGCCAATAAATACACTTATTTGATTTTTTTTTACAGTAGAATAAAACAGTAGATCACAAATCCAAAATGATCCTCAACTTCATACAAAATGACTGTTTCTTTCTTTTTTTAATAAATCTGAAGTCTCTGTTAAAAATCCTATCAGTGCAAACCTCCATATATCATGCAATAACATACATGTTACAATGTAGATCTAGTTGAAAATACATTATTTTTTTACTGATTTTCTCTCAGGATTTTTTCCAAGACCCTGTTGTCAAGGCAACCTTAGGCGTCTTATCAGACAGTGGGTCATGGGGTCCTCCAGGCAAGTATCATGAATTCATCATCTAAACATTGTTCCCAATTAAGTTTGACCCTCCCCTCCATTGTACAAAATCTATATGCTGTGCATCTGCCAAATGATAATTTAACCATTTTTCAGAAGAGAAAAAAGGGATGTGCAGATACTCTTAAGCCTACATGAACATGTTTCTCAGTGTCCCTACACAATTTTGAAGAGATATGTGTAAGATTTAATTTAAATGTAGCCAAGATCTCTTCTTTTTTTTTGGGGGGGGGGGGAGCGGGAGGGAATTGGTCAAATACTATTAATCTGTTCCTTTCATATTTTCCGCTAATCTAGAACCTGTAACACAAAAATAATTCTGTGGTTGATTGATATTTTGCAATGTAGGCCTACTGCATGAGCACAACATTACATGTACCGGTATGTTCAATCAATTCATCAAACTATCAATCAGTTGACCGTATGATCAATTTCAAAGATTTGCGATGTTGGGCCCAGGCCTGAAGGTTCCATCTATAATCATGTTTTGTTTCCTATTACTATCTAAAGGATTCACTGCTGAGAAAGTCGAGGCTCTTCAGGTGCCTTGTTCCGTGACCTCCATGACCTTCTTTGATCGTCTGGAGAAGGAGGAGCTTGTTAGAGAAGGGGGACGCATCGTCAAGTGCTTCGATGAATTCTATGAAGAATTCACAATATCTGATGAAGTTAGAAAGGTGTGTTGAGCTTTTTGTGCGAAATAATTGCATGACATGTATTTTTACAGCAAAGTATGCATGCACACATGTTGATATGTAATGTATGATGTTAGTCCATTGTACAGATTTAAATTCATACTTTCATGTTCTAAATTCTAACTTTCATATGAAAATGAAAAGAAAAAGACTACAGTACCTGTTGCTTAAAATAGGGATGCTTTAAGACAAAAAATAACGTTGGTATTCAAAGTTTTACAGAAACTTTTGGAAGATTTGGTGTTTACTCTGTAGAGGAAATTCTTTGATTACTACAATATCTGGCAACGAAGTCATTGAAAGGTTTTACCGGTAGGTAATTATTTGTGCTATCAATACAATAACAATTAAGAGTTGTGATAACTTTTCAGGTTATTTGATTGTTCCTTTGCTAATTATTCTTGATAAAATCAGATAAGTATTACTTTTCTTCTTTTTCATCTCTCCTAAAACCGTTTATAGATGATTCTTCTTGAAGATTCTGATAATTATGAGGTCTACTCCGAGGCTGAGAGGGAGCAGTTTCTCTTCCATCTTTTCGAGCATCTGTGTCTCGGCGGCTCATTATGTCAGTATGAAGATAGCATCACACCGTACTTGGATACCACTAAACTGCTCTACAAAGATCTTGTCAGGTAAACCCTTCAAACTCTTACCTGGATAGCTATCATGTAATGTTTTCATAACAAGTATGGCTATTGTTTTAATAAAAAACAAAGAACAACAAAAACATATGCAGATAAAGGTCTGAATGTGTAAAACTACATGGTTTTGCAAGCATCTTGATGCAAGCAAAAGTATGAGGAAGCAAGAGTATGTTTATCTGACAATCTCTTCAATTTAATCTTTTGATTTTGATTTGGGCTACTTTGAGCTACTTCCTACTGTAACAGAAAGTGACTGGAAATGATATTCCAAAGGACTGCTTTTTCTTTAATTAACAGTAATAATTCTTGGCAGATAAATGTATATACATGGAGATATAATATATATATATATATATATATATATATATATATTGAAGGACTGTGATGAAATATAATATAAAGCATTTCTGACTCACATTAAATTGTTACAAATTACCACTAGTTGCTTTAAAAAATCCTTACTGTATATTAGAGGAAGCTGGAATTTCACTGATACAATTGTGATACAATGTATAAAGCCAGATACAAATCTGACATGAAATGAAATGTCGAGAATCTGAAGCTGTCTACATTTTTATATGTTACACAACAACAAAATATCAAAATGAATACTGTACTTGATTGATCGTGATTTATTTCTTTATTTTTGATTCTGCAGTGTCCAGAAAGATGCCTCAACTAAAGAGCTGAGAGTTACATCTCATGTATTCAAGGTCAAGGCGTGGGTAAGTTTAATAATCTCAAATGAGTCTTTTGGCTAAATTCATTTACAGGCCGTTAGCACATTTATTTGACAGAATATGCACAGGACTAGAAGGGCAGAAAATGTATGCGAATATTTAAATTCATATTATCTTTTTGTCTCGCAACAGATCTACATGTGTTTCCAAATTTGTCATCAGAATATCAGAAACTGTAGAATCAAGAGAGATCTAGAGATTAACATTTTCCAAACCTTTCTTGAAAGTACAACTTTAAACTGTATATTTTTGTTTTCACTTCATAAATTTCATATGTATGACCACCGAGATGTATGAAAATCGAAAATCAAAATATGCATGATGCACGATGTGTATAAAAGACTTAAGCAGAATTCTCTAATCATCATAGGCATTTTGATATGGTCAATGTTATACTATTTTGTCACAGTCCAATATGTTAATCATCCATTTTAATAGAAGACAGTTACAGTCTATGCAACAAGAGGCTGTTATATGCCTTACTTTCTTAGTATAAGGAAGGCATGGTAATAGAGGTTGTAATTTGGGTTTTTACGGACTTGTATCAATCAGATATGATTATTTACGTCTGATGAGGACCAACCTTTAACGTCACCATCCGAAAGACGTGACTCAGTCTTGAACCCGAGTCCGCTGAGTCAGTTTGTAGGTCAAGACAGAGAGCTGACTGTACCACAGACATTACCGCTATTAAAACCAACTCACATCTCCCTTAATATTTCAATGAAGTACATGAACGAAAGATGTCTTTCATGTCATAAACAAGTTGTGGCATCACATCCCTAAAAAGGACTGCTGGGGGGTGTTTCACAAAGATATAAAGTCAAACTTAACTCTAAGTTGGCTATAGGATAGCTATTTGAAGCCTTAAAATAAAATGTATTCAAAAGCAAAAATTTAAGTATTTTAGACTTTTCATGAATTTCACATCAAGAACATGAAATCTCCTTGATAATAGAAAATATGAATGATTTGAATCAACATTTTATGCCTTTAAACAATAACTTTTACAAACTATTTTCAAAGATGCTAACGGCTTTCCATAATTGTTAAGTCCAACATAGAGATAAGTTCAACTTAAGATCTTTGTGAAACACCCCCCTGATTTTCCTACCAATCATTGATTTTGTTTGTTTTTGTCTCCACAGGATAAAGACAGTTACCAGTTTTATCCTTGTGACCAAGACCATCGTCAGACCTTTGCATACTTTATCGTGGATCCTCTAAAAAGACACGTCAGTATTCTTTACCATCGGTTTGGAAGTGGCGTCTTTACATAACACTCAACCTACGTTCGATCACCAAACTTTTGAAAGTATGAACGGTGTATTTGGTCATGAATCGTCTATAGAGGGACGTCAGTATGCTCAATCATCGGTTCGGAAGTTGTGTCTTACGTTACACTCAACAAATCATCATCAAACTTTGGAGTACATGTACATATATGGATCGTCTGTAGAGGGATGTCGATATTCTCTACCATTGGTTTGGGAGTGGTGTCTTTAGTCTTTACATAACACTCAACCTACGTTTGCCAAACTTTTGAAAGTATATGATCAGTGTACTGGGTCAAGAGTCATCTATAGAGGGATGTCGAAATGCTTAATCATCGGTTAGGAAATGGTGTCATACATGGCACTTAGCCAAACTTTGGAAGTGGTGATGACCATCAGCAGACCTTCATGTACTTCACAGTTGACCGGCTAAAAGAAAAAGGCATATCTGAATTCTTTACCATCGGACTGAAAGCGATGCTTTCACATAAACACTCAACGTGTTATTGTTAAAATTGTGACTATGTACATGTACATGTACTTTATTGTGAGTTGTTTAAAGATGGAGTATTCTCTATATCATTGGTTTGGAAATGATATCCTTCTATCGCCGAACTCTGGAATATGGGTACTTCACTGTGAATCATCTAAAGAGACACACCAATATTTTGCTGCCGTTATTTTGGAAGTATTGTCTTCATACATGTACACCACCCAACCTATGAATGTCAAATCCTGTGCATACTCCATTGCCACTTGCAGGTGGTTATCTCATCACATCAGCTCTCAATTAACATAAGAAAAAGGGCATCAATGGGGATCAACGGGTACCACTTAGGCATTGCTTGCTGTATAGAGGGTGCAAGTAGCTATAAGTAGTGTAGTGGGGGCTTTAAAAGAGACTGGACTATTCTCTCCTACCATTAGTTTTGCAGTTATATCTCTGCTTCAGTTTGATCGTTTTGTCCCAGATCGTCAGCAGACCTGTGGATACTTCATCATAGATCCTCTAAAAAGACATGTCCGTATTCTTTTATCATCGGTTTGAAGGTTGCAAATTTACACGACAATCAAAAGACTTCAGAGGGGACATGCACAAATACTTTTACATCATGAATGTGCATTATTGGGGTTGCCTCCCAAATTGGAGGTGAAATATACTTCGTTTCCCTTCTTGTTTTTCCCGTTATATATTTGTTTCAATTCTAAGTTTGCGTATGAACTTGAGATTTTAGGTATTCATAGAATTTTTTTCATGCCTCATGAATTTTTTGGAATTTAAATTCAATTTGTGCTTTCATTTTTATCTATATCTATGTACTTCCAACTGTTCTCTTGATTTCATAAATGCAAATAAGTTTTAAAAAGGAATGATTAACTCATGAAGAGAAATCTCAAGAAGTTTAGAGCAAGAGAGCAAGATACACAGAAGAATTAAAATAAAAAGGTAAACAAGATAAATGGATGGAAAATAACAAGAGAGAGTGAATGTGACCGATGTCAAGTGGGAAAGAGATAGAGAGTTGAATACTTGATTGTGAATAAGGGAGATGCAGAGAGAGAGTGGGAGTCGAGGGGAAAGGGGGAGGGGGATGCACAGAAAGAGAACCAACAGAAGACAACATTTCAGATATACCTGGGCCATGTACCGGAGTGTTGGTTCAGTCAGTAGAGCGTCCGCCTCACAACCGGGAGGTCGTGGGTTCGAACTCCGGCTGCGTCATACCAAAAAGACGTTAAAAGATGCGAGTTGTTGCTACCTTGTTTGGCGTTCAACAATAAGGGATAGTGCAATTTCTGTTTCGGTTTAATAAAATCTGGAGTGGACTATTAGGCTATTATTATTATTATTAAAAAAAGTTGGGATATATCAAAACTTTCTTGCGATTGATATCAATTGCAACTATATACATAAGAGATAGGGGACTGCAAACTTGCGATTGATTAAAGGACTTGAAATTCGGATCAATTGCAACCTTTAAAAGACAGAGCCCTGATTTATAATGAACTCAAAGTCCCAAATAGTACCCTTCATTATCCCACATATACAACAAGAATGAGAATATACACTGCAGAATGATACATTTACATAACTTCTTTATTATGATACAACAATTGTTATCTTAATCTTACATGTACATTACAATTCACATTTTTTGGACACTTTTTTGTCCACTTGTCCACTGAGCAGATACAGTTTATTACATATACACTGTACAATGTATACATGAGAAAAATGTCAAAACTAGATCTTCAAAACAAGGGAACCTACCGGTAATGAACACGAGCAGTGATATCTCTGCCCAAGACAGAGAGCATAAAAATATTGAAAGATTTCTTAGAGGGTCGACTCTCTTGACTGATGGAAACTCATAATTTGAATATGAATTCCCCCGAAAATCAAGTAACTTTTAAAATCTGTTCGTCAATTTGATTTTGTTGAAGTTTCTGAATTTCCCGGTGCCGAAATGCTTGTCATTAGTACACAGCATTTTCAGGTTTTGCATCGTAGAGAAATACACAAGTACATAGAATGGAAAAATTACTGTGTAAACCATCACCATCTTCATAAAAGTTTAAGGAAACCGTTTAAGGTACCATTATCGGCTTTACATTAATTTCAAATACTAGTACAAGGTACCCTGTTCTTGTCATTAAAGCCTATCTGGACTAGTTTGGCCAGGAGGGATTAGACCACCCAGCGTGGTCACTGACAGGTGGCTATCTCATCAACTCAGCTCCAATTAACATAAGAAAAAGAGGATCATGGGGGACCAACAAGCACCGCTTAGGCATTGTTTTCTATATAGAAGGAACAAGTAGTGCAGTGGGGCTATAACTCTGTGTTAAAGTAGATAAGTTAACACCCTCTGGCTACAAACAGACAATATATTTGACATATCTCTGGCAATTCTCAGCAAATTTTCCCAATATTCTCATCATCTCTTGGCAGGCTTGGGCATTAAAAACACCTTGACGGGTTTACACAGATCCACAGTCCCTCCACTACTACTTGATGATGTCTCCCCTTTGGATGAAGTGGAAGGGCCCAACGCATGGGGTTCATGGGTCATTACAATGCTGACCTCGACTTGACATGGCTCTGTGAATGAAAAGAATAGAAAGAAAAGAAGAACAAAAAACAGGGAAAATTAGAATCCTGAATTCATTTTCAACATTGAAACACACATGTAGGCCTAATTCTATTGTCCTCATGCACCAAGTAAAAATGGTCCTGATCTATCACTGATCAAAAATAGTCTGCAAGCTTAGACTTCCCTTGATGGTGAATTGTGGTTTGGTCTATAACCAGTTCTTCTACTACCCAATTAGTCTTTTCCCATATGGTCTACACCCAGCCCAAATAGACCAAATGGGTAGTATACTGATTGGACATTAGACCATTTGACTATTAGCCTAAATGCTTGCTAGACCAAACGATATGTAGACCAAATGATTATTAGACCATGTTCAAATTCAAATTCAATGTTTATTCAATACTCTTCATAAAAACATTTAAAACATACAAATACAGAATGGAGTTATAAATATAAAAAGACACAAGAAAGTGATAACAAATACAATGGCAATTTATAAGAGCATTTGGGATAGGCAGAAAGGAGGGAAGTTCCTTATATAAAAGCCTACCCCTAAAAACACACATACATGAAAACGAGAACAAAAGAACAGAACAAAAAACAAAGAACATATTAAAACTTACTATCATGCACGATCAGAGTATATAAAAAAAAAATGTCAAAAATTGGCCGATACTATTGATACTAATTATTATATACTTGTTTAACAGAAATTGTTTATATTTGATTTTAAAAAGATTGAGAGTTTTACATTTTTTAATTTCCTGAGGTATACTATTCCATATTAATGGTCCTTTAAAAAATAGTGAATTTTTCATACAAGTCGTTCTAATCTTGGGGAGGTGATAATTTAGGGCATTTCTAGTATTAAAATTATGCACATCACAATTCAAGTTAAAACATGTAGATAAAAAGGTAGGCAAGTTGCCATTAAAACATGAAAACATGAAAACTGCAATATAAAAATTATGCATATCGATTACATTCAAATTACATACAAATATGTTTTAAACCTAACCTAATTTTATACAGTAGGTTTGCGGGTGCACCATGTGTGAGAGAGAGAGAGAGGTTTGAGGAGTCCTGAAAAGGACTGTTTGTTATCTTTCTTAGCATATAGTTCTAAGGAGAACTATAGCGCTTGGAGAGGATGAGTGGCTCGATGTTTCGAACAGGTTGACTATCCGTCGTCAGGAGTGCATGGTGCACCCGCAAACCTACTGTATATCTACATCACCATGCAAGCCGACACTTACAAGCAGCATCTAACCTAATTTTGTCTGTTATTGCCTTAGTCATATTGGTGAAGAAATTTTGTTATATACTGTATATTATACTTTGTGAGAATTTCAAACCACATTTGTACATGTATGTATTATTGCCAATGTAAATTGTACATAATTCAGCCATTTGGCTGCGAAGCGCAATTATAATTAAATCTTTTCAATCAAGTAGACCAACACAGTGACGGGGTAATTGGACTAACCTGACCATAAGCCATGCGAGAGGTAGATTTCAGTCATGAAGCGATGTCTGAGGTTGCTCAGGATTCTGAAGTCACTACTACGGGGGATGAAGAGCTGAGTCCTGGAGTCTGGGAAACGCACCTGTCAAAGCGAGAGGACCGTAGACAGTTATTGCTACTCAAAGATCTTGGATGCCAGATTGTTTAATCTTTATTTGCCACATTATCTTTCAAAATTATAATACTCTCTACAAAATACTTTCTGTTTTATTTATAGACTTCCTGCTATACGATATTGCATAAATGTGAGCTGATATTGGCAACAACCCACACCAGTTTGATTTCTTTTTAGAGGACCTGTAATAATATGCTACGGTTGTATACGTCATAATCAAGTAATCAAAGAGGGGGCAGCAGACTTGTATGCTTACAATTGGCATATAACAGAATGGAAAATAAGCATAACATTAAACAAAATGCAATGAATCTCTGCTGCACATCTCTTTCCATCTTTCTAAGTTAGTGTGCTAGAGCTCTTGGAATGACTCATTAGACGTTTACCTCTATGACAAAAGAGAGCAATCTTCGACGCTACATACGTACACCCCACGATAACTTTCTCTTCGCTATCAAGATTGCTAGGCCGTCATTCTCACCTGAATCCTGATCCGTTCCAGGTCACGGACATTCTCCAGCTCGGCGTCCACAAACAGCCCGAGCGTGAGTCCCGCGGTGAAGCGGTGGGGATTGTCGCTCCCTCCCACCGGCTCGCGGATCGTCGCCGAGACGCAGCTTATGGTGTTGGCAAGGCACAGGATCGGGGCTCGGTTGTGCAGGAGAAGGGGCTGCAGGAACTTGGTGAGGATGGCATGTCGCGCTGCGGAGAGCTTCAGCACCTGGGAGAAGACGGCGTGTGTGAAAGAGTCCGGAGTGATGCTCGCCGATGTGAAGTGTCTACAAGAGAAACGTAAAATGAAACGGAAAATGAAACGTACTGTAACTTGAAATCAATTATAGGGAATAGTTATGCTTAAAACTGTGTGAATTTTTCTAGGATGCCTTGTCTCGCTGCAGAGAGCTTCAGCACCTGGGAGAAGACGGCATGTGTTAAAAGAGTCTGGAGTGATGCTCGCCGATGTGAAGTGTCTGCGAGTGAAACGTAAAATTATACGTTAGTTTGACTACACAAGATGTTTAATTTGTTCACCTTCAGTTGTGTATAAACGATGATGGGTTTATATTCTTTTCATCAAGAGTAGAAAGAACCGAATATTTTCAAAATGGGTAAAATTCAGAGATATTTACTTTTAGTCATGCGAAAAAACCATCAACAGTGATGAATGATTCAATCTTAAAGCCTATCTGCACTAGTTTGGCCAGGAGGGATTAGACCTCCCTGCATGGTCACTGACAGGTGATTATCTCATCAAATCCATTCTCAATTAACATAAGAAAAAGGGGACCATGGGGACCACAGTCACCGATTAGGCATTGTTTGTTGTAATGAGGGTGCAAGTAGCTACAATTAGTAGTGCAGTGGGGCTTTAAAGGGAGGCTTTGCTTTGAAAAGACAACTTGGAATTGTTAAGTTGCAGGAAATCATACATAATAATTGTAATAATTTTTTGTAAATGTACCTTGGACGATAATGAGAAATAATTTTGCAATATTTGACAAGATCTAGATTGCTGCAAATTTCCTGCAAGTTTGACACTATCATACTGCAGAATATTGTTACAAAAATTTGTATTTGTATAATTTTTGTCATTCTAATTTCGAAATCACCATGATTATAATGTTTTATTGTTATATTTCTTGAAAGTGCCAAATAAATGAATAAATGAATCACTTTTACAGAAGTTTTAAAAAGACATGATACATGCATTTGGCATTGATATGTTGAATATTCAATATGAAATATAGTTGGTACATGTACATTAGCACAGGATTCCAGCTTCTAGTGCCTAATTCCTGAGATCTATTTTTGTTTCTCCTTCAAATGCCAGTCGAGAAATTAAAAGCACCTGAAAATGCGATGGCCCTTTTTTGTCATTTTTCTCATGGAAACGTGCCTATCCCTTTATACAAAATTTTACAAAACAATCATAAATACATGAGGGGAATTTTAACATCCCACCTGTTTTATTTTAAGAACATCATTATCAAAATTATCATTCCCATTTGTTTTGTATTTTTGTAAAAACATAGGATGGTACGTGTCATATAATTATTTGTTATACCGTAATATCATTTACCACTGCATATAAAAGCTACAATGTTAATTGTTAATTTGTGATTTTCTTATTTATATAATTGTTTTATATACGTATTGTGAAACAAAATGTTCATGTATATAATTGAGGTTTACTAATAAAATTCAAATTCAAACTTTGTGAGGATAACTCACTCTTGCATGGCCGACGCTCTGGTGAGAAACCTCTGCGCGAGGTGACTGGAGGAGCTACCACTGCTGCCACTGTTGCTGGCGCTCCCCCTGAGCTGTACCACAAGTTGCAGGGCCCAGGCTCGGAGACGGAGTTGCTGCACCATGGCGAGCTCGGACTCGCTGCAGCCCACGTAGAGGTGCTGGAGTCTGTAACTCAGCTCTATCACCTAGGAGGGATCAAATCAAGAGGAGTGGCATTGAGTAGATTATGGAGGCCTGGAGGGTGTTTCACAAAGACTAGGATTGACTTTAAGTTGGACTTAACTATGGCAGGCTGTTCATGCCGCTAGTTGCTCTCACCATTGGTCTCTCAATTATGATCTTTAGACAATATTTTTTCCTTCAAAAAAGGAAAATTCTGTAGATTTGTGACCACGATTTGTACGTCCCTTGAGAAACCAATGCCAGGAATGGTTAGAGGATCTAGTGGCATGAAAGGCCTGCCATAGTTAAGTTCAACTTAAAGTTGATCTTAGTCTTTGTGAAACACTCCCCAGGAGAGGGCATGCGCAAAGAATTTTGATTCTACATGTAAAGGCTTGTTCACATATGATGCGTTACATCGCCACTAAAATAGTTGCCATGTTTTTGTTATGTGTAAATGAACAGTAGCTGTGTGCAACGAAGGAGCTGCATGTATTTATTGAACTCTATTAGGTCTTAGAGTAAAAGAGCGAGTGTGTGGGTGATAGAGAGAGGGGGGGGGGGGTCGGGAGAGACAGAGAGAGAGGGAGTGGGGAAGAGAGAGAGAGAGGGTGGGGGGGGGGTGGTGGGGAGAGACAGAGAGAGAGAGGGAGTGGGGAAAGAGAGATAGAGGGGGGGGGGGAGACACAGAGAGAGGGAGTGGGGAAAGAGAGACAGAGAGAGAGGGGGTGGGGAGAGACAGAGAGAGAGGGGGTGGGGAGAGACACAGAGAGGGAGTGGGGAAAGAGAGAGAGAGAGAGAGGGGGTGGGGAGAGACAGAGAGAGAGGGGTGGGGAGAGACACAGAGAGGGAGTGGGGAAAGAGAGAGAGAGAGAGAGGGGGTGGGGAGAGACAGAGAGAGAGGGGGTGGGGAGAGACACAGAGAGGGAGTGGGGAAAGAGAGAGAGAGAGAGGGGGGGTGGGGAAAGAGAGAGAGAGAGGGGGTGGGGAGAGACAGAGAGAGGGAGTGGGGAAAGAGAGAGAGAGAGGGGGTGGGGAGAGACAGAGAGAGAGGGAGTGGGGAAAGAGAGAGAGAGAGAGAGGGGGTGGTGGGGAGAGAGAGAGAGAGAGAGAGAGGGAGTGGGGGAAAGAGAGAGAAAGAGAGAGAGAGAGTAAAGGCTTGTTCAGATGTTAACAATCATTAGCATCATTTCACAATGTTTAATCTGAGATACACGGCCTTACGTGCTACCAGTGTCTGTGATATGGTGTCATATTGAAGCCCTAAAAAAATGTGCCTCAAAATGATCATGAAGTGCCTCAAAAAAGTAAAAATCTTTGAGTGACCGGTTTTACCATACTCATTTTCCCCAATAGACTGTAGTGTTATGAAAACGATAAATTAAATTTTGATTTCTAATCACAAATATCTTGATAATCAGACAGGCGATCGGCTTGAAAAAGTCATGGGATTCCTGACTGACCTACAGGTTTATAATTATGATTGGAGCATGAGCTAAATCCAGGATTTTGTTTCAGAATCTGAGGCAATTTGTTACAGAGTCACTTAGAGTCACTTCAGAGCACTGAATGATAAGAATGGTTCACTTACCCTTTCTGAAGCGGCTAGAGCAGTCTCGGCACTCTGTTGAGGGCAGAGCATGGCAGGGACGTTCCAGTGTTCACCACTCAATGCCTGCAACACAAAAAAAGACTCAAGGTTTAATATGCAATATTTAACTCCGCTTCGTTGACAATCAGTCGTAGGCGAAAGACTTCATGCATAGCTGATCGTCAACGAAACGGAGTTAAGTCTTTTGTCAATTCTGCTTGTTGCTATGGCAGGCAGCCAGTGAAAACGAATTCGTTTGATAAAATTATGGAAATGCAAGCACTACTATAAACAAACAGAACTTTGTCAATCCTTGCTCATTTCTTCTGATTGAGGTGTCATATAAAAGGGCAGAAACTCAACTTTCTAGAAATGTGATTTTCTCTTTGAAATTCAGATACCGTCCGCCAAATGACTTTTTGGTGTCCTCTCTTCAAATTCATTTCAATCACTCATGCGTGAAATATGCATCATATGAATTGCATCAAATGAAAGAAGAGGATCTAAGCTCTCCAAATATGTGTCATTTATTAATTATAAAATAATGTGACTAAGTTATGATAAAACATTGATAATTCTCAGTTTCGTTTTTTCTGGGACGCACTGTATATATGTTTGGTCATAGATTACCTTTGCAAGGGTGAGCCGACAATCAATGTACATGGAATATAACTGGGCGGTGGCAGCTATCTTTGGCTCTAACTCGCTGATACGCTGCAGATCTCTGAGAAAAAGAGACGGAGAGATGATAAAAATGAATGAGATCGTGTTTGAACGCAAGCTACAGCACATGTGCAGTATTGGATTCAGTCAGTTTTAAATGAGGAGTTGTTAAGAAAATTCATAACAGAGACTATATGCGGTAACAAATATTCAAATATTTGAAGAAGTTTCTTCCCCCTTTGTTTTCGTCTGTTCATGCATCTTCTCTTAGCTTCTTTCTCTCATTTTCTCTATCTATCACTCTTGTCCTTCATTTCTTTATTAATAAAACAGATGTTCTGTATCTTATCTCATTTTCCAATTCCTTGAATGATCTTGACATCAGCTAGTTTTGACAAGTATGTCTTCTGTGCTTTTCTCTTCATTTCACTTTTCCCTTTTTTCTGTGCTTTCTTTCTATTTTCTCTTCTGTTCTACCATCCTGGTCTCACTCCTCTCTGTTACCCTCCAACTCTTTTTCTCTACCTTCCTCTCCCGCTTCCTCTATCCCTTTCTCTTTTCCTCTTTCTCTTTTGTCTCTTCCACTCCCTCTATCCCTTTCTTTTTCTCTTTTGTCTCTTCCACTCCCTCTATCCCTTTCTCTTTATCTCGTCTCTTCCTCTCCCTCTATCACTTTCTCTCTTCTCTTCTACTCCCTCTATCCCTTTCTCTCTTTCTCTCTTCTCTTCCGTCTTCCCTCTATCACTCCCTGCCTCTCTATATAATCCTCCCTTCTATACTGCACCAACCTAATAGTGAGTTGCATGATGTTAATAGCAGCTGAGTTTGATAGACCATCGAGACCCTTGAGTTTGTCCAAGGTTTGTTGTAAGAAGTCTTGAGGGTTGGTCTGTCTGTCAGCCATACTGTCTCCTGTTTCTGATAACCCCTGTCTTCTGGTTAGCTGAAGGTTCTATGAAATGATGGAGAGAAAGTTCAAATTAGAATAAAATTAGATAATTGTTTCACCCCCCTCCTCTTTCCTTGTATACAAGTTGATGTGCAAGAGCAAGTCACAACAATTAAAATGGACATTATTTTCTTTCAATCATCATCATAATCATCATCACAACTTAAAGTGAATCTGTAAAATTGCCTCAGATTCTGAAACAAAATCCTGGACTTAGCCCTTTCTGCAATCATAATTATATACCTTTAGGTCAGTCAGGAATCCCATGACTTTTACAAGCTGATCACCTGTCTGATTATCAAGATATTTATGATTTGAAATCGAAATCAAATTGTTTGTTTTCCTAACAGTTTTTATAACGCTACAGTCTATTGGGGAAACTGAGTATGGTAAAACCGGTCACTCAAAAATTCTTACTTTTTTGAGGCACTTCATGATCATTTTGAATAGCAATTTTTATAGGACTTCAATAATACACCATATCACAAACACTGATAACACGTAGGGCCATGCATCTCAGAATTGCATTGTTAAACGATGCTTTGAAAACTCTATCAGCACCCCCAAAAAGTATCTGAATTCTAAATTCACTCCAACACCAATATCAATATGAACAACATCATAGCCCAAAGATTTACTAGTAACCTCTATCAATATCATCACCACTGCAATAATCATCATCTTCACTATCATGGTCATCATTATCATCATCACCGTCATCATCATCGTCATCATCATCATCAGTATCATCGTCATCATCATCACCATCATCACCATCATCACCATCATCTTCTTCATCATCATCATCATCATCATCATCATCATCATCACCATCATCACCATCATCATCATCATCATCATCACCATCATCACCATCATCATCGTCATCATCATCATCATCATCACCATCATCACCATCATCATCATCATCATCATCATCATCATCATTATCATCATCATTATCATCATCATCATCATCACTATCATCATTATCATCACCATCACCAAAACCCCCATCATCATCATCATCATTATCATCATCATTACCATCATCACCATCATTACAATCATCATCCACATCAACATCACAATCATCATCATCACCATCATCATAATCATCATCACCATCACTATCACTCTTAAATTCATCAACAATGAACATTCCTATCTGAAACCTACCTCAACTACAGGTACTAGGTGTGGCAGGGAGTCCCTCAGATAGGTGTAATGTCTGAAGGTATACTCAGGGAATAGGGCAGACATGGTGGGAGAGTTGACAGCAGAATTCAAGATCATGATCATCACGGCAATGTCTGGGTAAAGCATTAGTCAAGGACACAATATGGAATATGGAACAAATATTACCCCAGAAAAATTTCTGGGGAGTGTTTCACAAGATTGACTTTAAGTTGGACTTAAGAATGGCAGGCCATTCATGCCACTAGTTGCTTTCACCATTATGATCTTTAGGTAATAGTTTTCCCTTCAATAATAAACTATCAAAAAAATGTAAATTTTGTAGATTTGTGACCATTATTTGTAAGTCCCTTGAGAGACCAATACCAGTAAATGGTGAGAGCAAACAGTGGCATGAAAGGCCTGTCAAAGTTAAGTCCGACTTAAAGTTGATCTTGGAGGCTGTTCACACCGGCAGTGACGGCGCGCGCTAGACCGCGCTATCTCTGCGGTTTGGAAGGTACAACGTCGTGTCGGTCCGCCCAACAGCGAGCCACGGCGAGCCAAAACGGCGTGCCACTGGAGCACCTCTTAAATTGGGGGTGGTCCACGAGAGAGCGCGCGGTCTAGCGCGCTAGAAAGAAGGGGGTGCTACGATAGACCGCGCTATCTCATTGCGGTTTGAACAGCCTCTTAGTCTTTGTGAAACACTCACCTGGATGGATTGAAACCCTAGAGTGCAACATTCTTTGGAGTATTATCTGCACACGTGATGTGAGTAAAGAGGACTGTGGCAATGAACTGCATGTTCCGTTAGTCGACCGAAGAAGGTTAAGAGTTCAATTTGACTATCTCTTGTATAGATGGTGACGTAAAACTCAGTCTGTAAAAATTCAGGGGGGTGTTTCACAAAGATCCTAAATTGAACTTTTCTCTAAGTTGGACTAACAATTATGGAAAGTCATTAGCATCTTTGAAAATATTTTGTAAAAGTGATTTTAAAAGGCATAAAATGTTCATTCAAATCATTTATATTTTCGTTTTTGAACATACTTATTTTAAGGCTACAAACTTAGAGTTAAGATTGACTTTAAGGAGGTTTGAGAAACACCCCCCAGCAGATCTCATTGTTGTTATTGTTTTAGTTGTATTGGCATGTATCATTCATTTATGGATATTTACGCATTAATGCATGTGTGTATAGTCTCAATATCAGACACACTAAAGGATACAGCCTGGGTCGTCCATGTCGGGCTCTGGTGTATCAAAGTAAGGATGTGTACCAAGAAGGTCTGGTACCAAGGCTAAGGTCAGGTCTGGATGGGCAGTACCAAGGTTTTTCAAACAGCTGAAATGAATTGATAAAAAATGTAAAATATGATAAGAGTAAGAATTGCAGAAACAGTAACAATTATCAAAATTTATAGATACATGAGTATTGATAGAGCATCTACTGGCTATCATTCTATGAAAATGGTTTTTGTAAACCCGCAATACCATTGAGATGAAGGCTTCCCGTATGTGAATACAAATGTATGTATGTAAACGAATGAGCCAATGTCTATAAGATAATGCAAGGAATCGACGACCCCCAGTCAACTAAATTCTGTCATCGTAACCACTGTCACAGTAAAAAGAGGTCACCAGTTCAAACTACAAAAGAAGCACATAAAATCTAAATTGAGGCAGAGCTCTTTTTCACAGAGAGTAGTAAACGGTTGGAAGAGTCTTTCATCATATGTAGCAGAAAGTCCATCACTCAATTCTTTCAAATCAAATCTTGATATGTACTGGTCACTGAACAAAGACAAGTTTAATCCTGCTCAATTATTAAACTGTCCATGTTTATCCGTAACTGCACAGCACCAAATTCAGGAGTAACTCACTAGCGGACACCGAGGGGCAAAAAAGTTTTGTATAACTTTATGCCTACTTTCGAGGTATGATAAAATGAAGTGAACAATCTATAAACTCACTTCCAGATGGAGAGTCTGTCGTGGGGGTACTTGCTCAGGTTCCTGATGAGGAACATCAGGGCCTTGTGGAGACAGGACTTGGTTACCATGGTAATGGAGGAGAGCAGCTCATGGAGAGCCTCCCTTATTTCCTTGGATGAATCCTGCAAACAGCAACAAAATCAACAAAGTAATAAATGAAATGAATGAATAAAGATACATGTCATAATTTTGTTGTGAGGGGGGTGATATGAGGGTTTTCTTTTTCTCATTAAATTATATTATGAAAATAAATTGTGTAACACATTTACAAACAGCAATTCAGGGGATTTTGTTTAGGTCAGTTACACAATTTTGCTAATTCACAGTGATAAAACAAAGAATGTTTTAGAAATAAGCTTTTAGTTCAGGTCCTCCTGAATTTAAAACCACCACTCTTAATTAGCCATCATGCCTCTTTATCTTTCTTCCCTTTACAATTGGAAAGCCAGCATTAGTTCAGGCAAACACTCTCGATCTCGTTGTTGAACAAGTCAACCTTACCAGACTAGCATATCAACAAGGTTTCAAAACCAGTCCCTCCCGATTTTTAAAACCAATGCTCTACCACTGAGCCATTACCCCTCCTACCTCACCCCTTTCCACAAAGAAAGAAATCACAATTTAAAGGTATACAGTGTAGATCAGTTCTGGTCATGCGATTGCATTGTGAAAGAAATGTTGTGGAATCGATCAGAAAATGTTAATCATCTAGCATATAAGTATTGGTGTGTACTGCAAGGTTATGGAATCATCAAAATGATAAGAAATTTGGCCTAGTCTTGGTAAAGTTACAAGCGTTTCCTAAACTGGTCTATACCTTTAAGCCTAATAATCAAGTAAAATTTCCCAAACTCACATCTAGCACATTGAGAATGATCTCAAGCTGGTCTTCCCTCAGCTTAATATGGTGGTTGATCTTCCTTAGACTGTGGATGGCGTTCAGCCGAACACTCTCGATCTCGTCGTTGAACATGTCGACGAGGAAGTCAAGGGAGAGGATGGCGAAGGACGGTGACTGGAAAGCCAGCTCACAGAGAGAGTCTAGAGCAATGGATCTCACCTCTGATGCAAAAAACAAACACACATTAAAAAATATCAGTCATCATGAAAACTTTTCCTTTAAAATTGAAACCCCCATTTGACTTTCACCACTTCTAGAGCTGAGATTGTGTTAAGCCTTAAGTAAACACTAGTGCTGTAACACTAGATTTGAACCTCAAAGCCTATCACTTGAAAGTAAACTAAAGAAGAAAACAAAATTTAAATGACCTTTAAAAAAAATATATGACTGGAGATATCTATGAAACCTCACCTAAATATTCATCCTCGAGACCATGAACGAAGGCACCACATGCCCCGGAAGTAATTAGACTGACGGAATCGGGGTCAACGTCCTCTTGTGGCTTATCATCGGCCCATTTCTTACCGGTCGACCATTCACCCGATGTGAACTGCTCCTTCTGTCTTTCATGGGCTGAAAACTTTTTCTGAAAATTGTTGGTACATTGATAAGAATAATGTTAAATGAATCAATATGCAATGACTCCAACCCTTATTAACAAAGTCTGTTAAAAACAAGTTTTTACCCTCCCACCCTCCCTAGGAGGTATGATAGGATAACACAAGCCATGGCCTGGTGGAAATAGTAGACTAATCTAAAATTCTGAGCAGGATATCGGACAGAAATATTTCTTGTAATACTGAATCTCACACATTTCAAATCTGGATTTCATGGCAAAAAAGGCTATTTTCATTCAATGTAGCATGCTTTCCATGAGTAGAGCATCAAGGGGAAAATGGAATTAAGGAGACAATTGAAAATGACTATTATTTCATTGTACAAACAAATCAGTTTTCTAACATTGCATGACATCAATATATGGCTAATTGAAAAATTTGAGATTGTCATCCATGCAGTGAACCAAACTTTCAAGCATCCATAACCTGTTTGATTTTGTCCAAACTTTCACAAATCTCTCTCTCTCTGATTTTTTTTACAAATCTTCACAAATCTCTCTCTCTCTCTCTTTCTCTCTCTCTCTATATATCTCTCTATCTATATCTCTATCTTTCTATCTATCTCTATCGCTCTCTCTCTCAATCTCTCTCTCTCTCTCTCTCTCTTAATCTCTCCCTCTCTCTCTCAATCTCTCTCTCTCTTGATATTTCTACCTTCACGCAAGGCAGTATTCTTACAAGTGTTTGCTTGCCCAAAAAAGTTATCATCATTGAACTTTGACCCCTGTCTCACCCTGAGTCCTGACATCAGTTTCTTGTCCAGAGTCTGCTCCAGGAACCTGGTACTGACGGAATGCAGCGAGCCCAGGAGACCCGCTGCCTCCGCTCGCACCTTGATCGAAGAATCTGTCACCATGTCGCAAATCTTGGCAAAACCGTCGTCGACGAGTCTCAGGGTCTCCTCGGAAGTTCCAGGAGCTGAGACGGGCTCGTCAGGGTGGACTTGGCCCAGGACCCAGACTAGTTTGAGTGCCACCAGCCGTACCCCTTCGTGGTCGTCCGTCAAGGATTTGATGGACTGCTGGTAGAGATCCAGGTCAAGTTTCTGTCCTCGCTGGTGGAGGGCGAACTGTGATGGGGGAGTTTAGAATTGTAAAGTTTAATGAGTGAGCGCTAGAGTGGTAGCAGGCATGAACAAATAAAAGCATCATAATCATAACTGTATTGATCATTAATATCAATCTACAACTTTTTTATTTAGATATGGGAAGGCATAAACTCTACTTAGTATACTCTAGGTGAGGACCATCTTTCATACAGAAGATTCTCTCCCCCACAAGCTACAAGCATTACAAGATTACTCTAAAAACTATGTTATATTTGCTTTATGATTATATAAATTATTGAATATAACAGCCATACATGTATGTTTTACTCTCAACAAAACAGATAAAGATAAAAATGAGTAGATAAGATAGGGTTCGTCGATCTTCTACATTAATCAGACTGACAAGCTGTTGTGCCGCTCTCAGATTCTTAGCATGCACACAAGCCACAAAGCAAATTTCTGATGACTTGCTTCAAAAGTGTTGACTGCTCTATGCATGTACATGTCTCACCATTTTGTAAATGAGACAGGGCTTTCCCTCCTTGTCAATTAAAGGGATCGTTTAACAATGTTAAATCTGAGATACACGCTCCTAAATGTTACCAGTGTCTGTGATATGGTGTAATATTGAAGCCCTGAAAAAAATTGCGCTTCAAAATGATCAAGAAGTGCCTCAAAAGAGTAAAAATATTTGAGTGACCGGTTTTGCCATACTTGTTTTCCCCTATAGACTGTAGTGTTATGAAAACCGTTCAGCGAACGGTCTTCAAAATTTGTAATTCCAATCATTAATATCTTGATAAGTAGTAGTAGTAGTAGTAGTAGTAGTAGTAGTAGTAGTAGTAGTACATAGTTTACATAGGATTTGTAAGACCACTCCTCGAATATGCCTGCCCTGCCTGGAACGGAGCATTGACTTTCGCCCAGTCCAACAAGATCGAAAATGTTCAAAAACGGGCATTAAGAATTATACTAGGTAGATATTACATATCCTATTCAAATGCCCTTTCAATGACCAAGCTTCAAACTCTCCATGCTCGCCGAGAAGAGCTATGCCTCAAGTTTGCCCTGAAAGCACTAAAATCCGACCAATCAGACTGGTTTAAACTAAACGCCAGCACCAGAAACACACGGAAATCACGTATCTGTATAGAACCTAAGTCCAAAACAGAACGTTACAGGAAAAGCCCAGTCCCATATCTCACCAGGTTACTCAACAACGCATAAATTCCCCTGATTCCTGCCCGATTCCACACCTCTTATTTAAATCGTATGCCTTTTGTTGCTTTTAATACTGCTCAACTTTATACCCATCAACTCATAAAGATTAGTGCATGTAATCCACATTGTAATGGATACACTTGTGTTTTTAACTGTCAAACTGATTAATTAGTGAATATATCTCTTATAGTTACGCACGTTCCCATGTACATTCTATGTCTTTACATATTTAAAGTTTTTACGCATATATTCTGTTATTGTTATTGATTGGTAAATTGTACTGTCTTTCTCTGTAAGGGAAACTTTGTAATTTACTTTGTAATTTCTTTCTAATCGCCTTTTCCTTGTCGTCTTACTTTCATCATCATTCCGCTTCTCCATGTCTTCACAGTTCCAACTGTTCCATTCTTCTCATTCCACTCCCTCCCTATCTCCCTCTCCCTCTCCCATCTTCCGCATGTCTTCCTGTTTTTCTTTCTAACTTCACTCTCTCTCTCTCTACATCGTTCTCTCCCTAACCTTTAATCATGTTTCTATGATAAATCCTTATATATTGTGTAGCTTTATAGACATTCAATGTGCATTACGGTTCGAAGTTAAACAAATCTTCAGTACTTACTTGTTATAACTCCATTAATCAGCCTCAATTTATATTTAAAATATGAATATTCCTCACTTAACAATGATCACAGGAAAAAAATAACGCAGAATCTATTTTATTTGTTTCATCAATTTGTTTGTAAGTAGGGAATATGTAATTAGTTATGATCTACCCGACTGTGTATTATGTGTACTTGTCCATATTATCTAAGTTTGTTGAAATGATTTTTAATACATGTAAAACTTGCAATGTAATTTAGCTTTCGGGCTACCATTTTGAAGTTGTCTAATAAAAAAACCATTCTACTACTACTACTACTAAGATGCACAGAGAGGAGAAAGAATAACCAGGCTAAGAAACTATACATGTATGGTGACTACATCAATGAAGATGGAAGAAAAAAATAGTACATTTTTAGCAGGTGAATTTTCAATTGTACAACACGTGCTCCGGTGATAATTGCTTCATGGTTTAATCCTCCACTACCCAAATTCTGAACTTAAACCCTGGACCAAACACTACTACCCTAAACCTTACCTAACGTCCCATCGCAAACCTAACCCTTACCCTAAGCCTAGATGTACAGTATACCTTTCATGAAATGAGGATCGAATCAATTTACTAAGGAGTATACCGTATATCAGGGCTTTGTTTCATAAACCTTGATATCTACTACAAGTTTCAATAATTGTTATAAGCTACTAGAATTGTGGCATCTGATTGGCTGAGAGCATACTTGTCATAGAAATTCAGCATTTGTTATTGATGACGAGTTTTATGAAACAGGGCCCTAGGGGTGATTCACAAAGATCCTAAGTAGAACTTATCTTTATCAAGTATGGAAAGCTGTAGCATCTTGAAAATATTTTGTAAAAGTTTTTTTGAAGGCATAAAATGTTGATTCAAATCATTCACATTTTTTTTTATTATCAAGGAGATTTCATGTTCTTGATGTGGAATTTATGAAAAGTCTGAAATACTTGAATTTTTGCTTTTGAATATATTTTATTTTAAGGCTGCAAATGGCTCTTCATAACGTTTAAGTCCAACTTAGAGTTAAGTTTGACTTAGGATCTTTGTGAAACACCCCCTGGTCCCATGGTCATCTCATTCCTTACCATAGCTTGGAAAGCGGCCTCCCTGACCCGAGCGTCCCTGTCGCTCGTGAATTCACCCAGCATCCTCTGCAGATTGCCCTTACGACGCTCCTTGCCACTCTTTCCAGAGGACGATGACGACGCCACAGATTTGAGGTCACACATGCCAAGCTGACCAATCATGCTCAAGCTGGCACATCGTACGGCATGGTTAGAGTCCGTTAAATGCTTCAATGGGAAAAGATTTGTAATGCTGGAATTACTGAAAAGTTATATTTCCAAAAAAATGTTCAAAAAGTTTTGTCAGTGTTAAAAATCACATACATGTACATGTATACTGCACACTGTAAATAAAATGTATCTCAGCAAATATAAAATTGTCAGTTGACCAGTAGTTATATCTGCAACATTGCGATTACCTTGGTGTACATGTATACCAGGAAACGTAAATTAGACAGGTAAAAAACAATTTGTATATATAGGTAGAATGTATAAAATCGACCTCAACAAACTTTATCTGGCATTGCCATTCCATAAGTAGATGGTTAAGGAGTATGAAGAAAATATAAGATATCATTAAACCTTGCGTAAAGAGCGCATGAAATCAAAGTTGGACTTGGTTTCAGTGCGAATCCTTTTCTATGCGAGTCTGTAAGCACATAAATGGGAGTGTATTTAAATTGCAACATTTCTTTGTAGAAGAAACATTTAATGCCCCTCTGCACTAGTTTGACCAAGAGGGATTAGACCACCCTGTGTGGTCACTGGCAGGTGATTATCTCATCAAATCAGCTCTCAATCAACATAAGAAAAAGGGGACCCTGGGGGACCAATGGTCACCGATTAGGCATTGTTTGCTATATAGAGGGCGCAAGTAGCTATATGTAGTGCAGTCCCGCTTTAAAGCTCATAGTTTGACTGCGGTATAACAAAATGGAACCCCTGTAATACATCAAGAGCAGCACATGATTTTGTAATTGACACACTTCAAAGTATAAACGTTAGGATTACCTTTTGAGCAAGTTGTACAAGCTGACGGTGGAGATCAGAAGTCAGTGGAAGGCTTCGGCCAATCACAGTGAGTGTGGTAAATATTTGACCTTTGACCTTGTGAGAACCTGCACAAATAAACAGTGTCATGAAATCTTGACGTAAATGCAATTCCTAAATTAACAATTACTAAATTTTATTCATTTCATGTATTGGCCAACCATGGCGTCCTGGGTAAACAAAATGAGGTTTCATGTAGATGAGAGATAAATAAATTAACAAAATAGCACCCTTTACTCTCTCTCTTTGGTTCTCCTATTTCAATCATTGTTATCATAACCCCCAACCTCCTTCACAGATTCTTTCTGTATGGTCATAATTTGTTCCACATCATGTTGTTTTTTTTCTCCCTCATCTTATGCTATGAGCACTTTTTCCCTTTACACATTTTTGGGGGCTCCTGTACATCTATGGGTCTATCAAAGAGGGTTGAAGTCTATGGAAAATGCATATTGGTAATAACAGTGTTTTTTTGTACAGCACTCATGTTTGTAAAACTTGACACTCCTGCTATCAGCATGGCTGCCATTTATACGGAACTCTAGCAATTCATGAAATTGATTCCCGCCAGCTACCCATTTACCTCACCTGGGTCTCGTATGGCAAACATAGACTAGTAATGTCTTGCCAAAAGACGTCAGAGCTCCAGCAGGGATTCGAACCCCACACATTGTGATTGACAGTCCGGCGAGTTATCCACTAGACCACAACACCACCACTAAACCCTAATCAAATTTACAACATCCAACAAGTCAAACAGTCCCCTTTTCCATGGCAGCATTTCATGAAACCGTCATAAGGGCAAGTTCACCGAGATCCCCTCGAAACGTGTGTTAAACTTAATACAAGCATTTCAATGCGATGTCGTTGAATTTGTACTTATGACAGTTTCGTGAGACGCTGCCCATATTCCTAAGTTAACCTTTCACCCCTTTCTCACCTTCTGTATTTAACAGGGTCATCAGGTCATTGGCAATACCCACAGCATTCACACCTGGGAGTCTTGCAATGTGACCCAAGAGTTCAATGATCTTTGACCTGACGTGGGCTCCTTCTTCTTTGCTGTAGTGCTCAAAAAGGGTGTTGATAATACTCTCTGGTTGGAAGAACAAACAAAACTAGTACTGTTACAGCTGAACAAAATGCTCAATTTAAAGACTACATCAAATTGTTTTACCATTATTTTTGACCACTTTTCAACTTGGGGCAGAGTTGATCTTAATTTAGGCATTCGTATCATTATTTTTTGTTTATAATACTCTTGTTTTGGGTGTAAATTACATCCTAATTCATTCACAAAAATGTGCATGGAAATCCAAAATAAACTCAGCCTGAATGTAAAGATGCCTTTTATTTGTAGAATATTAAACTGTCATATATTTAATTGGTTGTACATATTTTAACGTCAAGACTATTATAATCAATACTCGTATATTACCAACATCACATCAATCAGTATCATTATACTCTATCATCATCGGTAGCAGGAGGAGCATCATCATCATCATAACAATTATTATCAGTCACCTCTACCATCAATATCAACATCAAGATCTTCATCATCACTATCATTCATAACCATCACTCTCACCATAATCATCATCACCACCATCATCACCATCTTCACAAACATCAACATCATCATAATCATAATCATCATCATTATCACCATCATCACCATCACCTCAACCACCATCCTCGTCATCACTATCGCCTCCGCCACCACAATCATCACCACCACCACAATCTCCACCACCACCACCATCACCATCATCCTCACTATCAAGGTCTTTCCATTTAAATCGTTTGATTTCGGCTTTCTGTTCATTCTCACGTTTTACTCTGATGGGTGCAAGACGAAAAGCTTAAGTTTGGCTCTTTTCAACGCGATTTTCCCATCCTCACTATTAATTATCACCATCATTCTCCTCACCATAATCATAATCACCATCATCACCACCACCACCTAGACCATCATCATCATTATCACCACTATCATCACCATCATCCCCTCCACCATCACCACCATCAGCACCACCACAACCACCACCACCATCATCATCTCCACCACCACCATGATCATATAATGATCACCACTATCATCACTAACATCACCATCCCTTCCACCACCACCACCACCACTACCACCACTACTAAACCACCACCACCACTACCATCACCACCACCATCACCACCACCACCACTACCGCCACTACCACCATCACCACCATCATCACCTGCAGCATCTTGGCTGACTGGTAACTGATTCTCTAGATCAAGCAGCTGAGTGAGGGCCTCTCTTGAAGTGCCAGCCCTCTGAAGATCGAGGGTGACCTGGGAGGTCTGGGGGCGTGTTACAAGCCTAACCTTGATTGGAGGTGCCTTGGGTTCCTCCTGTTCAATGAAAATAAGTAAAACAAAAATAATCATTTATTCATATTTTGTTATGAAAAGAGACACTCATTTGGTTAACAAAAATAATGGCACAAGGACAAGCCTGTAAGAACTATATTTTCAATAATAGATGTTTAAGACAGTATGACCTTTATATTTGTAAATAACATGAAATTACCCAATACTAGCTAGGCCTAGGGCAAAATCTTGAAGAAAACAATTGAAATAGACACCTTCAACTTCACCTCACCTTCACTTCACCTCATTGTGCAAGTGTAACTCTCCATGACTTTCATTCCCAAGACCGGTCATCCTCACTCGACTCAGATTTTTTTCAAAATTTAGTCTCACTCTCATGGAGTCTCACTCTCAGTCGGACGTCTCGCGTCTGTCGGCGACATTGTCATTTTCACAATTGAAATTCCATTCTTAAATCTTAGATTAAATTTAACGAGTCATGCGATAAATCATGCAAATGGCTTTGGAGTACCTTATATCTATTCTTTACATTCTAGTATTTACAACTATCAAGATTAATTGGGACTGTTTTTTTTTGGGGGGGGGGGGGCTGTGTCCTGGCTTCACGAACAACATCAACTGCTCACTGATATTAACACTACACTAATATTAGTATGTGGTACAGTACTGTATCTACCAGTGGAAGAATACATCGACATCTAGCTACCTTGTGTTTGCTTTTATTACCTGAATTATTTGGCTGAACTCCTCATATGCACGCTTTTTCAGATGGGCTGCCATTCTGTAATGAGAAATTCAATTAATCCAATTACAGTCAATAATTTCGTGGTGGAAATACAAGCTCGCTGTCCATTTCGGAAATTAAACCACGCCCTCTCATGGCAGAAATTATGTAACTTGCGGTAAAATTAAAATCAACGATAACGAATTTTATTGAAAAATCAAAATCACAGCAATATTCAAAGAAGGAAGGATAACTAGATCTAATTGTATTTCCAACAACAGGGAATTCGGAAAGGCTATGGCATCAACAGAGGATAAAGCTACCAAAGGCTCCCTGAAGAACGTGAGTTCGGATTTCCTGACCCCCGTGCATCCGGCGAAGAGAAGTCGAGTCTCGGTGGCTACCCCCGCCCGGAACTCTCCCGCTACCAAGCTTCAAATTCCCGCTTCTCCATTTATGAAGAAGCTTGGTTGGGGAACTGGCGTGTCAGTTTATTTGCTCGAAAGGTTTGTCACTTTCATTATTAAACATTTGTAGATTGTAGATCTAATCTACAAAGCTAATATAAAAAGAGTAAAAGACTAAAAAAAATGATGATGGATTGCTGATTTTTATGATGATGATCTCTCTCTCTCTGTTGAGTGTTGTTGTCCCTCCGCTTTTCGGAGATCAGCGAGTAGAGTCTATATCGCATTCGAAGTAGTAGGCTGCTGTAAATATGTTATAAAATCCTTAGTTGGAGGGTATGGAGTGCAGGCGATGGGCATGAATTTTGTAAAGATAGTGAAGTGTCATCTTTAAAATAGAATCATTGACAGTGGAGGGAAGGTATGGATCATATGGCAAGAGAATAGCGCAAGTCAGATGGGAAGGGTCCTGGGTGTTGAGCAGTGGTGTATTTGGTGCAGAGTCGAGGACATTATGCAGGAGTCTACTGGCTCTGTCGATAAGGTCTTCCAGAAGGTTGACAGTAGTCGAGCAGGCAGCCACAACGTGAACTACGGTATCCTCCTCAAGATTGCAGAGAGGACACTTTGTGTTGGTTGCTTTCTTAATCTTGGTAAGACGGGTTCGGGTGAGGTAGGTTGATGTGAGGAGCTGTGCTCTTATGGTCAGTGCCTGTCTGATTATTGTTGATGGTGGGTCATTGGGGTAGAATGAATGATGATGATGTAAATTGTAACTAAAAAACTGATTTAGCAGTGATTATGTCTACAGTACACTACAGATAGTATTAGAGATCTAAGTCATGTCATGCAATGAATGGGCCCATCCCATATTATAAGTTAACCGATTATTAGAAACTTCCCATTTGACTTGTTTTAGATCTAGATCTATCTCATCTGTCTTCCAAATTATTATTCTTTTTGTCGTTTGTTGTACTTGTGGGTCTGTTTCACATCCAATTCCAAATGATCTCTCCAGCCCAGTTACTGGCCCAATCAGTGTTCTCTTGCCAGTGTTGGTACATCTGAATCTGAAGTTCTGTGAGTCCTGTGACGTTCTGTCACTACATCATTGACTCTCTTAGACCAAAAGCTTCAGTCTCTCTAATCGTTGGTTGTTCCACTGAGACTACGTCTGGCTCCACTAGACCTCCGATTATAGAGACTGAAGTTCGTCCTATGAGGACTGGGCCCTGTGCATGTTGTCTTTGAACTTGGTTCGTTCGGTTAGCATCCTCCTATTAATGTTGACTTCTGTGGGTCTGTCAGAGGTAGGCCTACTGAAAATTTCGTAGCAAGTGGTAGACTACAATACAATCCTAATTCCTAAGACCTGACCACCACCACTATTTTTTATTTTGTTTTGTTCTTTTTTTCTCTGAAGGAGTCCAAGGCCTGACGGTAGTGGACGTTCACCATGGGCTGTCAAAAAAATCCGCAGCAAGTACAAAAAAGGCAGAGGAGATGTAGACGTAGAAGGAAGGCTTAAAAAGGAAGCAGTAATTCTTAAGGTACCTCTATCTTTATAATTCTAAGCAACTAGGAAAGGAGACTGAAATGCATTTGCTCCAAAATTGTAAAATGGAAACCTGGCAATGATGTAGTAATTATTATGTCAGGGCCTTTAGAAAGCCCCACTGCACTACTTATAGCTACTTGCGCCCTCTATAGCAAACTATTCCTAATCTGTGCCTGTTGGCCCCCATGATCCCCTTTTTCTTATGTTAATTGAGAGCTAATTTGATGAGATAACCATCTGTCACTGACCTTGCAGGAAGGTCTAATACCCCCTGGCCAAAGTAGTATAGACGAGCTTTGATACTGATATGGCTACCCTGTGTAAACAAGACCTAATTATTCAAAGCATTCGTTGTAATAAAAGTATTATGCTTTTTCAGAAAATGAGCCATGCTAACATCGTGGAGTTCCGAGCCCTTAGCAAGTCAGCTGATGGATCGCTGTGTCTGTCTATGGAAAATGGTCAACAGTCCTTGATGGGTATGATCGATCAACGCAAGGAAGCGGGAAAAGGTAAGAGTATGAAAGATGAACAAGTCTAGGATAGCTTTCATCTAAACTCATTTAAAAAAAAATTGGCAATTCAAGTTTGAGCGTCGATATATCTCTGAAGAATTCAGTGTTGGACAAGAAGAATGCATTTTGCACTCTGTCCATCTCTCTCTCTCTCTCTCTCTCTCTCTCTCTCTCTCTGTCTGACTGTCTGAATTAGGGCCCTCGTTGATATTTTTGTATAAGTAAGCTTTGAAACATCACATTCTCAAGAAACATAAATCGGGACAAATCAATTTTTCACATATTTAAATAATTACAAAACTCAGTAAGGTTATGAATAGAATAGTTTAGTTTTAAACTGTATGTAGTGACAATTAATATTAGATGTGTAAGCAAGTCGTCATATGAATTTGACTTTTAGGTCCATTCCCGGCAGCCCAGATCTACCAAGTGGCCCTGTCCCTGGCCTCGGCCCTGAACTACCTTCACAACGACCTCAAGTACATCCACGGTGACCTCAAGAGTGGCAACGTCCTGGTCAAGGGCGACTTTGAGACGGTCAAGCTCTGCGATTTCGGAGTCGCACTCAAACTGACGGACGACTTGAACGGCCTGGAGGTACAGTCAACACTAGTCATAGTGGCGAGCTCTATATGAAGAGCTGAATTCCAAAAGGAGCTAAATCTACTTGATGAAAATTGAGTTATTGATATCAGAACATTGTCACTTAAGTACCCATCTTTCAACAAAATTATTTACCTAAATTTTGACAGCAATTATGAAAAAATGCACTTTCTAATATCACTTTTCCTTAGACGCCTGTACAAAATCTGGTAAACTATTTTTTTTCTCTGAAGTTACAAAAATGGATTTAGCTCTTTTTGGAAATAAACTCTTCATATGCAAAGGTCACTTTTGTTTCCTGAAATCAAATTAATAAAAATCTGTCCATCTATAGTGGTCCTTGGTGTATTGAAAGACCACCTGACTTGTCTATAATGGTCACATGTATTTTCTTTAGAATAAATTATGTAGTCGACAGCCTGTCTGCAATGGCACCTGTCTATTGTTTCCTGGGGAGTGTTTCACAAAGACTAAGAACTACTTTAAGTTGGACTTAACTATGGCAGGCTGTTCATGCCACTGTTTGCTCTCACCATTATGATCTTTAGATAATATTTTTTCCTTCAATAATGAATTAGCAAAAAATGTAAATTCTGTAGGTTTATTACAATGATTTGTACGTCCCTTGAAAGAACAATGCCAGTTAATGGTGAGAGCAAACAGTGGCATGAACGGCCTGCCATATTTAAGTCCAACTTAAAGTCGATCTTAGTTTTTGTGAAACACTACTCTGTTCTGATTGCTTTGAGTGGCCTTTATAGACAGGTTTGAGCTTGACTCCTCCCATTTGTGAGAATTTTTGTGCCATGGACATGGAACCCAAGGATTTGGATGTTGCACTGTAAATTTAGACTAGAAAACATCTAGGCAAACCGAACCAATCTAAGAAAACTAAATACGTGAATCATGAAAACCTATTTCAGATAGTTGCTGTTATATCCCACACCAAAATATTCATGTTTAGGCATCAATGTAGTTCAAGCTTTTGTGTATTTTCAGGAAAAATTATATTGTAAGTTAGTACATCAACCCCCTCCTACTGCCCCCTCTCGGATAGAATTTGATCTGTACACCTATGATGTTTTTTAATTCAATGTATAAAACAATTAAGTGCATTCCAGGATTCATCAGATGTGCACCTTTTCTTTGCTAATCTGCGTTCCATTTCTTAATGAATGAGAGAAGGGCAGAATGTAAAGATCATAGAAGGAAGAGAAAGGAAGGAAGTACTGAATAGTGGCAGAAAATGGATAGAAGGAAAGAGTTTTGGAAGGTGAAAGGATTGAGGTAGACGGAATTGGAGAGTTCCCAAACCGTGTTATAGAACAAGATAACAGAATGTAGGCTTACCCGAATGTGAGCAAGAAGCTAGTTGTGAGAGATTGAAACACAACTCTGGAAGGTACATGTAGTAGCAAATTAATAGCGCTGGAAGGTAACTGGATATATGTCTAAAACGGAAAGGAATGGACAAAATGTAATTAATGCTGTTGTAAAAATGATGATGATGATAACGATAATAATAATAATATTAATAATAATAATGATATTAATAATAGTAATAATAATCATAATAATTGTACATTCATCCATTCTTCAGAACCCTACTGATGACTACGTCGGCTCTCAGCCATGGAATGCTATGGAGGTCCACATGGCCGGTGACATCACGCATAAGACGGACATGTTCTCATACGGTCTGGTCATCTGGGAGATGATGTCCCTAGAGGCCCCCCATCTTGATCTACTTTGTGAGTTTCTTTCCTTTCTTTAGTATTATACCCCGTGTCCACGCACAGCAGATTCATTGTATAACTATCCTGAAACGGTATAGTTATACCGTTTCGGGATATTTATACAATGAAATGGTGTGTGCGTATGCTTACAAACGATACGTCGTATAACGAAACGTTGAATAACGAAACGCGGGTCTGGGCATCGTTTCGAACTAGAACTCGATAAAGAATCCAGGAATGTGTTGTGTGTGGACGTAACTAGTGTAACTGGTCGAACTAGAACGGTATAACTTGGCGGGGCTTAACGTGACCGCGAGCAAATTAACG